CAGGAACGGCTCTCAGAGTAACAAGTTACAAAAGCTGATACAGTTGTTCTCTATCTGTGTCTCTATTTCTGCTTTGAAAATAGAATGATCTGCACCGTTTTTAGGTCTGCACATGTATGCATTAATACACTATATTTGTGTCTCTCTCTCTGACTCACTTCATTCTGTATGGCAGCCTCTAGCTCCACCCATGTCTCTGCAAATGGTGCAATTTTGTTCCTTTTTATGGCTGAGTAATAGTCCATTGTGTGCACACATGCATGCCTGTGCATGTACATGTGTGTATCCATTCCTCTGTCAAGGGACATTTAGGTCGACATATCCACAGATGACAGACCCTGATGCTGGGAAAGACTGAAGGCAAAAGGAGAAGAGGGTGGCAGAGGATGAGGTGATTAGATGGCATCACCGACTCAATGGACATGAACTTGAACAAACTCCGGTAGATAGTAAAGGACAATGAAGCCTGGCATGCTGCAGTCCATGGGATTGCAAAGAGTCAGACACGACTTAGCGACTGAACAACAACAACATACTCAGTACTATGTTTAAAATAGAACCTACTATATAGTATAGGGAACTCGACTCAATGCCCTGTGGTGACATAAATGGGAAGGAAATCCAAAAAAAGAGGGGATATATGTGTATGTGTGACTAATTCACTTTGCTGTAGAGAAGAAGCTAATAAAACATTGTAAAGCAACTGTACTCCAATAAAAATTTAAAAAAAGAAAAAAAAAAGCAAGATAAGTTACAAAGTTGAGCACATGGGCGAGTCCTCCCTATCAGTTCTCTGTAAAGTGATGACAGACTGAGTTGCATCCAGGAAAATCTGTTCCCCTTTCTTTCTCCCCTCTTAAGAGCTGTCTCTTGTCTCCTCCTTTCCCTTGAGGCAAAAAGATTAACCACACCAAGGAACCATGAATATGAAATGAGCTTTAAAGAATGAAAAGAAAACAATGCAATCGAGTCATATCTAACTATGTACCTGCCTACACATATGTACATAGGCACACCTTCATCATTGCTCCATGTTTTCCTCCTTTAAAAAAACACCCGGCTAACTGATAAGCAATGACTGCAGGCCACACTCAGAGAAGACAAATCTCACTCTGCCCCTCCCTTCTCCTTCTCTGAGGGCTCCCTGTGGTTCCCTTGAGCATTGCTATTGCTATGCAGGGCAGGGGCAGCCATGGATGATAGCTGAGATTGGAGAAAAACAAAAGGGAGGCAAAGGAGGACCATTCCCCAAGGGATCACCTGCTTTCAAATAGGTTTGCCATATTAGATCAAAGACAACCCAACACTGGGAACTTTGAAAGAAGCCAACCCAAAAATTGTGTGTTGAGCCACTCCCCGGTGGTCCAATGGTTAAGACTCTGTGCTTCCAATGCAAGGGGCCAGGTTCGATCCCTGGTCGGGGAACTAAGATCCCATATGCTGCAATGTAGATTCTGAGTTCTGCAACTGAGGCCTGGCACAGCCAAATAAATAAATACCTATTAAAAAAAATGTGTAGAAAACTAGACTACTGGGAAGTAAAGGATCAGGTAACTGATCTGAAGTCCGGTCCTTTAAAAACCGTTTTTGCTTTTTAAGCTACTCATGTCAACATGGAATTTTGTGTTCTCCTTACTCTTCATGGAGGCCTCAACAGCTTCCAAAATAAGCAGAGGTCACTTGCTGAAAATGGCATCAGCTTTCCTCAATGTCTGAGGCCATCATCCTGATGCTCGAATCATCAAAGGGACATTCAGAAATGATTACAACTGCCGAGAGGAAAAGTGATGATGGCACCAGAAACTTGAGTTTTTCTCTCCTTTTATCATAGAACTGATCAGCAAGTTCGACAGAGAAATCATTAAGGAAAATGGAGACGCTGAGGGCAACGGGGCTGGGTGGAAAGAGACAGACAGGAATTCTTAGCATAGAGAACTGATTCCTGTGTCAGCAGTTCGCTGTGGAGATAAGTGAGGCCCTCTGCTCCTGGGGCACCTCATCGCCATGGTAACTAAGCACAGAGCCATGCATTAGATCTGCAGGATCTCTGCTCAGAACGAGGCTATGGACAGAACGCAGGTCTTCCAAAGTCCTTCCACACCTGGGAGTCTAAACCGGTGGCCAGGCCAGTTTGGCAGCCTGGATTCTCAGACACTGACTGTTTCTCACCAACATTCAGAAACAGACTAACCCAAGGCTAGAATTACCTTCCTGCAGTCACCTGCTGCCACCACGCTGAGCTGGCTCAGGCAGAGGCCTCATGAAGCCACCGCTGAGGACAGAGCATCTTTCTGGGTCTGGGGGCCTCTTTGGAAGGATTCCGTGGTAGCCATGGTGAGAGCAGGGAATCAGAACCCTGGAGAAATCCTAGGCTAGAGGCATTACTCCCCTGCCTTTGGGGAGCTTTCTCTGAGACACTGATTTTTTTAAGCTGTCAAAGATCCTGGAGTCCCAAACAGCAAGGAGATCAAAGCAGTCAATCCTAAAGGAAATCAGTCCTGAATATTCACTGGAAGGACTGATGCTGAAGCTCCAATACTTTGGACCCCTGATTCGAAGAAGTGACTCATTAGAAAAGACCCTGATGCTAGGAAAGATTGAGGGCAGGAGGAGAAGGGGATGACAGAGGATAAGACAGTTGGATGGCATCACTGACTTGATACACATGAGTTTGAGCAAGCTCCAGGAGTTGGTGATGGACAAGGAAGGCTGGCGTCCATGGGGTTGCAAAGAGTCAGACACGACTGAGCGACTGAACTGAATAGCCATTCATCCCAACAATTTGTCAACACTCATCATTATAAGAGAATTCTGTTTTTCAAATCTAAATTCCACATCCTGAAAGGCACAGCTACTTTAATTTTTAGAAACACTCCTAAAAGGGTAAGGCTGATAGTGAAGAAATTTTAAATGAGGAAAATTGCCACCCTAATCTTGTCACTATTGGTCACCTTTCTTTTCATTCTGACAAGCACTTTCTAGTCTTTCCTGATCCAGAGAAGCATTTTCACTTGGCCACCATCATGATATTAAAAAAATTTTATATTTTCCTAGAATATTAGAAACATTTTTCCACTTTTCCCCACAATCACCATAATTACTATTTCTATCAATGGCTTCCCAGTTGCTGACTCACAGCGTGCCTGTTGAGGGGGAGGTTTGCAGTCTATCCCCCGTCTTGCTCGGAGGAGGAAGTGACAACCCACACTCCAGTATCCTTGCCTGGAGAATCCCATGGACAGAGGAACCTGGGCAAGCTACAGTCCAAGGGGTCACGAAGAGTCGGACACGACTGAGCACCTTGCAGAAGCCCATCTTGCTCAGATGGCAACATGGAGAGGCCTTCCTGCTGCCTCTTCACAGAAACCAGGGGAAAGTTCCACAGCGCTCACTTTTACCCAGGGGCTCACTGCCTCCTCCCCACTCCCTCCTTCAATCTGCAGACTCCCCAAGAGTTTAAATCACTTTATTTTATAAAGTAATTTGATCTCTTACAAATACCATTTATGTACCTCTGAGGAGCCCTGTGAGTTTTTCCCATGTTGGAAATGGGACTGTCATATGAATGTTCCAGCACAGTAGCAAGGGCTTGCTATAACAATAAAAAGTAAAAGGCCACTCTTGAAGAATTTGTTCAGACATAGAGAAGGTTTTGGCATCGATCATAACCGACCTGGAACTGTAGGCGATTTCTTGTTTTATTTAGGAACGAGGGAGTTTGACCTAAAAACTGTCACGTTCTGCCAAGCTGGGTCCTGACTCTGATGGGGCAGCAAATGAGAGTTTAACAGGAGGCCGGCTTTCTGTTCAAGCAAGAGGCAGGGCTAATTTTCCATGCAAAGGTCCGGGAAACTCTTAGTAAAAACAACTGTGTCCATTATTTCCCTAATGTGTCTTGAATTCGAGCCAGGGCTGCGTTAAGGTCTCCAGCACTTGCTAATTAGATTGGCCAACCCAGAAAGGCAGGGAGAAGGAAGTACACCTGATCCTTCTCAGAGGGCCAACTGCTCCTTTCAGAGGTGCAGCCAAGGAAGCCAAGAGCCCGGGTTAGACACAGCCTTCCACCCCTCAAGACAGAACACCCCAAACACAAGAACATGTCGGCAGGGAACTGGGCTGCAACCCAGTGTACACCGGCTGCATCTGTGCGTGGGTTTGGAATTTCGAAGTATCAGCCGCTGCCGCCCAGCTGTTCCCCTCATGACACGTGTTTTCCCTCGTAAAACTTCCAACAGGCTGGCGGGTTCCATGCTCCTCACTTAGCTTTGTGTGTGTTTTCAATGAATCAATGGGATACGGAGACTAATCAACATGTTCAGAAAGATAAAGAAAGGAAGAAAGAGGAACAGCTCATGACGCTGGCTGTTCCCGAGAGCTGGGTGGGAAGAGGCTGGCACAACTGTGTGCCCAGGAAGGCCCGGGACGGACGGGGTCCAGGAGCCCGGTGCACCGGCCAGCCCGGGGCTGCCATGTCCAAGAGTCCGAAGGCGGTGATGTGATCTCAGAGATCAGGTCTCGGGGCTCTCTGATGCCGGCCGCAGGCAGCCCCAGCCCCTTGGCTGGCGCTCCAGGCTCTCCACCACCTGCTCCCAGGCTGGACTTCAACCTCAGTGACAGTCTCCTGAGCATCATGCCCTGAATTGCAATGCCCATTCCTTGTCCCCTATATCCTGTTATAAATCTGGAAGCCCCCTGAGCACAGAACCCGTCTCTGACTCGGAACCCGTCTCTGACTCGCACCCCAGCCCCGAAGGCAGGGCTTCACGTGACAGACTGACGAAAGAACACAGCGAGGAGTAAGAAGATGTGGGAGGGACCTGCACTCAGCTGTCGACCCTCTGCTTCTCCACTAGAAACCACGATCTCGAAGAACTCAGTTTGCCAACAGGATACCGTGTTTTCAGCTCACTGGATCCAGGACAAGGGATCCTTCAAGTCACCCCAGTACAGACCAAAAGGCAGGGAAACATATCATCCAAACCCCAACTGTGGCTAGTTACCTGAGCTCACGCAGCCCTGCTGCAGGGGGTCTTGTAGTGACGTCACGGAGTGCAGGACTAAAGGAGAGAAAGGGGGACAGTTACATGAGGAAGCAAACTCAGGGGTTAAAGTTTCTTAATTCCCTGAGAACAAATGGGGGATAGCATAAGGGCCTAAAGGTCCAAGGGAGGGTCCTCACTCCTTACGGGAGGGGGAGACTTGGCGGGGGTACAGCTCGTAGAAAAGGAGGGACCCACGTGGACAGGCCAAGTGCTGCTGGTAGCAAGCTTGCCCCCAGCTGGGGGGCAGGCAGAAACAGCCGCCCGTGAGAGCCTTCATTCTGTGCCTTTGGCTGATTTCCTTTCCTGAGTCCCTGATTTAGCTACTTGACTTTTACCTATATTTATGTATAAACAGCATTTTCTTAATTGGTAACTCATTTTCTGCTGCTTATAAAATCAGCTAGGCACAATCTTCTCTTTCCGAAAAACTGAGTCAGTCGCATGGCAACAGGTTGTGGAGGAAAGAGGCATCTCAGCCTCCCCGCGCGGACGCCCCTCCCCGCTCCCCGCAGCAGCCTGGGGGCGGGGCCGCCCCTACCTGGCCCTTGCTGCTGCCCTTGGACGGGCAGGACGCCCTGGCCCAGCTCGCCGTTCAGCCAGAGCTGCATCCGGATGAAGGGTTCTCGGCCTTTCTGGGTCAGCTTGCTCCATGGCTTCGGCCGGGACAGCATGTCGCTGACACTGCCCTGTGACAGGCCTAGCACCTGGAACGGCAACCAAGGACACGCGGTAGCATCAGTGCCTGGCTCTGGTGAGGCCTCAGTGTTACACGCACAGCTGTGTGGCGGCGTGGCTGGGCATGGCGGCGCTGGAGCACTCCCGGGTGGAGCGCAGAACTGGCCCCTGGGGGGATGGCTAAGCTTTACGAGGTCACGGGTGGGCTGATGCCCTGGCACAGGGAGCCATAGTCATGGTCCCCGCTTTCAGCTCCTAGGGAGAGAGGGGCGGGCAAATGGAGGGGAGGGGCCCCCCTCCCCCCAGGGTCTTGATCCTGCCAAGCCTGCAGGGTTGTTGCCCTGACAACCTGAGGAGGAAGCACTGAAACCATGTTGCTTTTTGCCTGGTGGCGCCAGGAAAGGCCAGGGTGCTGGGGGCCAAGGACCCCTTAAGATAAACCAGGAGCAACGGATGCCGGCGGGACTTGGGCGCCTGTCTCCTGTGCTGACGCCAGACCAGCCTGGCATTTAGAAAGGTCGGCTCTCTCTGATCACATCCGCTCCAAGGTAGGGGCCCAGAGGTGAGCTGGTGGCGACAGAGGAGCCAGCCTGGGAGTGGAGCTCAGTGCCGACGGTCGACAAGTTGCACGTACATACCCGACTTTTCTTATACTCACATATGGCCATACATATGTATGGGCACAAACACCCCCCACAGGACACAGATGCAGCCCAGAGATATTTAGGGGCTGCATCCGATCACTCTTTGAAAAGTTCTCAAGTTCCAGAATAAACTGCGCTCATGGGCCAAACAAGTTCAATGCTATTAAGTCTCTGCTAAATTTAAGGCATGAGCACAAATGTCTATTTAAATGTTCTCAAATGATATTTTTACAACACTGAACTAGAAATTTCAAGGGACTTTAAATTCTCATCCTCATTCCTATTCACCCCATCACCTTTTGCAAGATCGGGACCAACAGTTCAGAACCGTATTGCAAGGATGCATGACACAGTGTATTGCAAACACTGAACTCAAGGCAGGGCCTGGGAAGGTGGTGGAGGAGGCTCCTGCGGGCCTCTCCAAGGCCACTGCTGACCCAGTCCTGAGCCTCTCAGGAAGGCTGTCTTTTACGGGACTGGAGTGCTTCTCATTCTGCTTAGCCAGTCGTTATTTAATCTAAGACTATCCTGGAGTATTATGTTTATCTTACATTTTGCAGGCCTGGTAAATCCCCATTATCCAGAATCTTAGTGACAAGGAAGCGCCAAGAACAGAAAGTGTCTGGGAGCTCACCCACAGACCGGGCTTTCCGTGAGCCAGGAAGGACGATGAGAACAGGAGGGTCTCCAGGGCCTGCCCTGGGCACAGCCTGGGGCCCTGCATGGCTCTGCCCATGCCACTGCTAGCTGCGCGTCCCTGGGCAAGTCACTGTACCCCTCTGGCCAGACAACACCCAAGCTCCTTCTCACTGCTGTTTCTGCCAAGTGCCTTTTGGCTCTCTGCAGGCTGGTCATCTCTTTCTGTGATCAGATCCTTTTTGGCCAAAACAGCCTACAGAGTGGTGCCTCGGGCTCCGCTTGGCCACAGGGACAGGGCTTGACTTAGTTATCTGCTAGCCTGGGGCACGTGGTCAACTCCCCTGAGCCTTCATTTCCTCATCTGTCACATGGTGACTCTGCCACCACCTCTCATATGATGAGAGGTCTAAAGGGCCACAGAGGGTGAGAGGGCCTTGCCGGGAACCTGGCCTCCAGTGGGGCTGCAGCAAATGGAGCGTTCACTGGCTAACCTCCCTGCAAGTTTGGGAGTGGACAAGCCAAGGCTCTCTTTGGTTAATTAAGTGGGTGATGGCCACATCCTCCATACAGATCCCCCACCTCCCTGGTCCTCAGCAGTGAAAGGAAATGGGAAGACCCAAGCCCCCAAATGGAACCCCCACCTCGTACCTTCTCCCCGAAGATCCTCTGACAGATGCCATTCTTGGCCAGCTTCTCCTTCACCTGCCGGGTGAGCTCGATGGTGTCCACCTCCTGGTACATGTAGATCTCATACTGCTCGGGGGTCAGCGGCGGGACCGAGGGCTTGGTGGGCTTCGACAGGGGCACGATGGGTGAGGAGGGCAGAGGGCTGTTCTGGGGCGTCTCGCTGCGGCTGGCTCCGGTCAGGCTCAGCTCTGAGCTCTGGGAGTAGGGCGACTCTGCGCTGGGCCAGTCTTTCCAGTACTCAGAGGAGGAGGGGCCCTGGAGCTGGCTGCGCTCCGCCCGCGCCTGCCCACCGCTGCCAGTGCTGCCGCTGCCTTTTTCTTTGCCACCGCTGGCGTCTTCGGCCTTGGGGTCTTCGGGTGGAGCGCTGTTCTTCCTCTCGGGCTGGACGGCGCTCCACCAGTGGTCCTTCCACACGCCGCCGCGGCCCAGCTCACTCTTCACGTGTCTCAGGACCCCCTGTGCGGCGGGGTCGTTTGCCCCCGGGAGGTCCGGCCCGGGCGTGTCCTGGGACTCCTTCTTCAGGGCCGGCGGGTTGGGTAGGGTGGGGGCGCTGGCGTCTGGAGCCGAGGGGGGCTTCTTTAGGGAGACGGCTAGCGGGGAGTAACTGGACACGGAAGACATGGGTGAGGCAGGTATCAGCTTGGGGGTCAGGAGGGCGATGTCCGTCTGGGACGGCGGCATGGGCTTTAAGGTGGGCTCGAGGGCGGCCTGCTGGGCCTCCATCTCCCGGCGGGCCTGCTGCAGGATGGAGCGGATGGCATCGTCTGTGCTCCCGCCGCTGGACGCTGAGGAAGGCTGGGCCGGCTCTGCTGCAGAGCAAATGCGCAGGTGAGATGGCGGTGACAGCACCCACTCCTGGTGGGAATGGGCTTTCCCACCCATGTCCTTCTCAGTTAGATTGCAGGTTACTCGGGACAACCTCACTGCACTGTGATCTCAGCATTTCCCACCTCGTGAAATGTGAACCGTTCATGCATTCTGTTGGAACAGCAATGAAGGGCTAAAGCTACCGCTCCGTGGCCCCACCAACTGAAAGGAGTTATGATCAGGAGTAAGATGGGGGGTGGGGTGGGGGGCGGAGGGTGTAACTGTACAAAAGCTCTGAGACACACCGTCCTGGACTCTTTCCCAGATGACTTTATTTATTTACTTGATTTATATTATTATTATTTTTTTTGATGTGGGCTATTATTGTGTGTCTTTTTTGAATTTGTTACAATATTATTTCGGCTTTACCTTTGGTATTTTGGCCATGAGGTGTATGTGATCTTAGTTTCCTGACCAGGGATTGATCTTGTACCCCCTGCACTGGAAGGCAAAGTCCCACTTACTGGACTGCCACGGAAGTCCCCTGGATGACTTGAAACTTAACGTTCTCGTGTGCTATATTCCAAAATTCCACCGGTTCTGTCAGCTCAGATTCCCTTCTGGGTGGGTGGCTCTGGGGTGGCCACCAAGGGGACGGGCAAGCAGAGGGTTAGGGTAGGGGGCCAGTGGGCTGGCCCTAGCTCAGGAGCCCAGGGGCGTGGCCAGGGGGTGGTGGGCGCTCAGTGTCATGCTGCCTGCTGCCAGGCCTGGTGGGGCCTCACACCCTGGCCCCTGGTGGCAGGACTGGGTAGAGCAGGGGCTTCAGGGGCACAGGGCAGGTGTGTGTCTGCGTGGAACCTCAGGAGGAGAACCTGGGTGCTCGGTTTCCCCTCTAGTGGAAGGTCTGAGCTGAATCTGCAGCCTGGTGTGCCTCTCAATCACTGCTCACCCGGAGAAAAGCTGAAATGTTGGTGTTCCCTCCTCTTAGACAAGGCAGCTCGCAGGGAGCTCTGAGGGCGGATTCCCAGGGCTGACTGACTGCAGAGGTGGGGACACCAGTCCTTTAACACTTCCTGCTCCTTCCTGCCAACTTTTGTTCTCTAAGGCAGTTTATTTTTCACCAGTGTGTGGTCAAGTGTATACCAAATAACAGAAGCCTCTGTTGTATTTAAGAAAGGGAATCTGATACATACTTGCTCATTTAAGTCACGGAGATTCTAGGCTAGGGCTAAGGAATGACCTAGAATGGTAAGTATTAGCAAAACACAGGTCACACAGACCTGCTCCCCCCTGTACTAAAGGCTTGAAAACACACATTCTATTTCCTTTTCTCTCTCTCTCTCTCTCTTTTCCCTATTTCTTTTTAAATGAAGTAAACTACTGCCGAACAGAACGCTCAGAACACAAGCCTCGGAGGCAGAGGTGGAGACCCTGAACTCCGTACCGGTTTTCTGGACTTGCAGCTCCCTCTTGGCTTGTTCTAGGATGGACTTGATGGCTTCGTCAGACCCGGTCTCGGAGGCTCGGATCCGGGTGGTGATGTTACCTGCGGGGAGAAGCCATACCGATGACATCAAACCCATACCTGGAACAAAATGTAGTGCTGCACAAAGATGGCATTCTGTCAAATAGTTGCCGGTGAGTTGAGGCCGGCGATGACAAGGAGGCAGGCTGGCCTCCCGCTTAACTGTACCTGCTGTGCGGGTGACTTCACAGCAGGTACGGCGACCCTGGGCAGGAAGGGCTTCCTGCTGACTCCACCTGGTGTCAAACAGTGTTTGGCCAGTGGGACCAGCTCTGACACTATCCAAGCTGGATATCACCCATGGGTTGGGACCAGAGAGAGCAAATCATTTAATTAAGTGTGTGTGTATATATATAAATATATATAAATGAAAGATTAAAGGGCAAGGCTTTTTGTTTTTGTGAGATGTTTAAAAGCAACTCCACCAGCTGCTTTGGCTTGGGATATCTTTAAGGCCCTCCCTGTACATGTATGTCCCTGAGGCCAGAGAGGAAAAATGGGCAGAAGGGGCAAGGGGTCGAGGCTGATCCTCCCGCCATCGTTTGGATGTACAAAGGGAAGAGGCTTAAGTTAAAATTTTCGGGTCTCTTATCACATGAACAAGGAGAGGAGCCTGCGGACATTTCTAAAGGACAAGAATCCCGTCTTCTGGTCACATGGTGAGCAGCCACGTGTCCAGATGCACTGCAGCTACTATGGCCTGGGGGCTGGCCTCGATGCTTCCCGGAAGCCGTTCACATGTTTTAACTGGTTGATACCTTACTAAGTATGAACCGCCACATCAAACCATTTAAAACAAGCCAACCACCGGCACAGAACCCCAGTAAAGCTGCAGCTCCGAGGAGGGCAGTGGGGGCTGGCTCGCCGGGACCCATGGGCGAGCGAGCCGGCCACATTTGGAATCTGTCTGATCGGTCGCACCCTCGACGGATTTCCGAGCTCGGGGAAGGGACAAGGAAGCAGCAGTATCTCATGTGACTCGGTCACCTGATTTTTTTCAGAGCAACAAAGGGTTATTCTTTCACCTGCTTCTGAGAACACAGGAAGAGTTGTAATTTGAATGTGAAGGGGGGGCATGATTTGCAGTTTGGGGCTGATTCTTAGGGGTGCCACCCCCTCCTGCACTCGGTAGAGTGCGGGGCCACGGTGGGGGGAGGGAGGGGCCGTGTGTACTTGAACCCGTGCTTTGTTTTATACTTACTAGCTCTGTTTTTCCATCAGGTTCCAGGCCAGAATCACACTGTACAGTCTGAACCCAAATACACAGCTAAGGGCATGCTGCTTCCTAGGTTACTAACTGCAAAGAAAAACACCTGCCTGCGACATACCTTCAGACCCATTTCTTCGTTTCGGTACTTCCTGAAAGAGTCTGTTCAGGCTCTGGCCTGGATTCTCTGTTGAAAAACAAGTGTGGTAAGAACAAAACAATCAGGGGGATGGTGGTGCTGACGATGTGGGCTGCGTGACATGAAATCTGAGCCGCCTGTTGCTACAGAGAGGGCTCAGGGCTTCCTGTGCCGCTTGGGAGTCACTAGAAACTTCTGAGAGGCCCTTCCCTGGCTGACCGGCTTGCAGAGGCCACGGCTCTGCCGCCAGAGGGGATTGGACAGAACTGGGGGGTGGCCTGCGGCATCAGCGCTGTGGGGGTCAGACGGAGGGAGCTCTGCCGCCCAGCGAATCGCCCACCAGCCCCGGAACAAAGCTCACATGAATCATCCAAAGACAGTCGATCCCAGTTAACATTGCCGTAAAAGGATCAATGTCCTCCGTGCAAACGGACACTGTTCAAAACGTCTCCCTTCTCTGAGTCTGTATTTCTGTCTGATAAGGTTCCCTTTCTCTATCAGCGCTGCTTTGGCAGAAGGATCGCCTATCGTTTGTTAAAGAGGGAAGGAGTTCCTGCAATTAGGGATGGGGCGGGCTTTTTATCTTTTTACCGAGGGTTGGGGTACAAAGGGTGTTTTAATACTTTAATGTATTTTACTCAAGGCAGGTATGTTTGCTTATGATGCTGAACAGGTCGCTAATGGGACTTAACACATGGGGAGTGTGCTGATCACGGGCCACCGGACTGTGTGCAGGGAGGAGGAAGGGTGCCCACGTGGTCGGCTCGCCCTCCGTGGGGACCCAGCGCCACGTGAGGCTTGCCCTGGCTGCTGCTGCTGCTCTAGGGCGGGTGGCACCCACGGGCCCCTCCCCACCCGAGGCCAGCACCCAAGGCCGTGGACATGAAACGCATCAGGATGTCGTGCGTTAATTCCCTCCAACCCAGTATGTGGTGCTGAACAGCAAGTCCACCTCATGGGAGGTACAGAGTGAGTTTCAGAGGCCGGACCCCCCCGAGGCTAAGGGCTCGTGCCCGTGGGCCCTGAGCTCTGGAGATGGCAGGACTGTGAGCTGTGCCTGATGTGAGGCACAAATGTATCATCACACACCCACATGTGCACGCGTGCACACACGCAGCTCTGTGCCGGGCTCACACGTGGGTGCCGACTGCGAGTCGCTCACCTCTTTGTCTGCCTTGGATGCTGCGAAGAGCCAGGATGTTCTGCTCGTCCGAGAGGAACTGCTTCATCTTGTGAAACGGCTCCTTGCCGCGCACCGTCAGTTTGTTCCACGGCTTGGGCCGGGCCAGGATCTCGCTCACGGACCCCTGAGACAGTCCCAAGACGTAGTGTCCGAAAATGCGCTGTCCAATATTGTGCTTGATCAGCTGCTCTTTCACCTGCCGGGCGATTTCTGCAGTGTCTATCTCCTCGCCCTCAGAGACGCTCCCAGCACTTTCTGACTGGCTGGGAGATGGGGCCATGCCATTTACATCTGGGCTTTGTTGTAATGGACTTTGGGAAGATATGGAGTTTGTGCTGTATGGACCTGTTGAAAAAATCATGCTTGTGCTTCCTGCTTCCTGCATGGCCTTGGAGTAGAAGGACTGCATTAGCTGTCGTTGGAGGAGAGAGTTTAGTGCAAATTTTCCCGTAGAAGCCAGGGGCAGGCTGGGGCTTGCCAGGGATGAGCTGAAAAAGTCTTGCGTTAACCCCGCTGGTGAGAACTGGTGTGTACCATTAGTATTGGAAGCCTGCTCCCCCGTGTTGCGGGGCAACTGAGAAGGAGGGGAGGCCGGCAAAGGTCCAGGACGCCGACTCTCAGGCTGGTCTTTCCCTTTTCTCCTGGCTGACCCTACAAGGAAGGGCAAACATAATGCATTATGGGGGATTCCAAAGGGAAAAAAAACCAAGACCAAGATGCAAAGTTTGCCCCACAAAAGGGAAAAAAAAAAAGTGCATTTTTTTTTTTTAAAACGGGCCAATGAGGTGTGTTGGTTTGTTTTTCGATTGAATTTGTAAATTAGCCAAACGAGGCCCCCCGAAACAAGCAACATGCATTTCATGTTTGCACCTTTCTTGTACGTTGCAGCCTGGAGAGTTTCCCCTTGACAGAGATTCAAACTCCTAACGTGACAAGGAGCCGGTACCACACACAGTAAAGAGTCGGCAGGTCGCGGGCCTCTCAGCGGGCCGCCAGCATTCGAGCTATAACCAGAAAGGGCCCCACCTGAGGAGCAGCAAACACTGACATTTTGGGACCAACAGATTCTCACACCACTTGCTCTGAGGCGAATGTACCGCACCGAGTCCACTCGATCGAAGGCACGCACATTTTTAAGAATGTAATATCATCGGAGCCCGAGACACTCTTAAAACGCTTTACCAGCTGCCAAAACCCGAAGCAGTCAGTGGCGCCACCACTTTGGGATGAGCAAAGAAAGGCTAAGGATGGGGGAGGCGTTCCCAAGGACAACCTGACAAAGGAAGAAAAGCTCCACTGAGCCGGGCAGGGCAGGCCCGGCCCTGGAAGTAGCCCAGGAAACACCACAGCAGAGGCCGCACAACTCGGAAGAGACCAGAAAAGCCACGGAACGCGCGCGCCGGCGGGGGGCGCCCCCGCAGCACGGCCCTGCCTGCCCTCCGCAGACGCCCTGCGGCCGGCCGCGCGCCTCGCCTGGACCGTCTCTGCCAGGGTGGGGGCGGAGGGGGGCGGTGAGGAGGACGAGGAGGAAGACGGACACTCGTTAGTCAAGGCTCTCATCTCCCATCGCCCGGTGACGCCCGCCATGCATCGGCCCAGACTCACGGTTCGCCTTCCTCTTCCTCGACCCCCTGGTGGGGGCCGAGCGGCCGCGAGAACTTATCAACCTACCGCTCAGGTCGCTGTTGGAGATGCGCAGCGCGGCGTTCTCGGACTGCAGCGAGCGGTTCTTCTCCAGCAGCAGCACCTCCAGGGGCCTGGATGCATCCTAGACAGGGCAGAGCTGTGCTCATCGCGGGGCCGGCTTTCACCTGGCTCCGTGGGCTACCAGACCCCACGGCCCCTGCTCTGATCTGACCCGCCTCCAGCCTCCCAAGGATGCTCCATGCATGTGGAAACATGCAAGTTCCTTTCCGAAATCACTCATTCTGGTTGAAGGGAGTTTTCTCTTTCTAGGCTCACGCAGCTTGCAGACAGCTAATTCTTCTCTTTTCTGTCCCCAGATCTGAGCGTCTAGACCTCTGCTTCCTTCAGTAACAGGACAGGTTGACACCTGTCAGACAGCCCTGCAGAGGTGACCTGTTTTTGGTGCCAGCCACCGAGGGTTGGCTGCCTTCTGGGCCTCAGGAACAGGATGTCACGTGATGACTTAAGATTTTAATTGGCCACTGGGTTACCGTGTACCACTGTCATCTTGTTTCTCATCCACGTGAGGCAGTAGATTATAAAAATTCCTAAGTCAGTCCATTTGGGGCTGATCTGTAACACAATCTGAGTGTTTGTACCCACGTTCTTAGTACCTGCCCCTGTTAAATTGCAACTTCACATGAACTCAGTTAACCAGTTTGAAAAACACTGATTTTTCTCTTTTTGCCCCTTTTAAGTTAAAGATAATTTGGTTTAACGTCGTGAAATGTTCCTGAGGAGAAACAACCTCTATGGTGAAGCAGTGACATGATCGCGAAAAGCAAAGGGAGACCGTGTACCTGCGTCCCAGCTCCCTCGGCCGGCGCAAACTCCATGGACTTCAGGATGCTGTGGAGAGCAAGACAGAGCCGTTACCCCTGCTTGGACCTGCAGCGGGCAGGGAGGGGGGCAGTCCTGCTAATGCTCCCTGCGCTCCAGGAACTGAGGAACTGACAACTTTAACAACTTCGCTGGCAGCCTTATCATCCGATAGCGGCTCTGGAATAACTATTCAACTAGCAGTTGGCCAGCGAAAGTTTCTTGCCCAGCATGTAAATCATTCCATATGGAATCACACCAGGTCTGTTCGGAGTATAATTTTAAAGTTAAGTTGAACACAGACATAACATGGCTGTAAGTGGAATGTATTTGTAAAGCCGAGAGGGGCTGAAAAAGCTGTTAACAAGGAAGTCAGGAAGATAAACCTGCGCCCCCAGCGTTTGACCAAGAGTTAGGTCCCAGGACCAGATGCCTCACAGGTGGCAGGGGACTGTCCTGGTACCCAGGCAGGGGAAGGAGCCACCACAAAGGTGTGGGCCACCGGGCTTATTTCTCCTTTGTCCTCCTTATCACAGAAGCCACTGTGGTCGTGGCCTGTTTCAACAAGTCTGAGAGCTGAGTGAGTTGGAGCGCCCAGGAGAGCTATTTGCAGAGTGAGGCACACGTGAACGTTCTTTCTCTGGGTCCACGTGGCCCCAAGGAGCTGGGGTGTTCCCCTTACGCTCAAGAAAGAGGGCAGCTTCCATCCCTGGCACTGGGCCACCTGCGCTCCCCCAGCCGTGACTCAAGCCTTGGCCCTTCTTTAAGCTCCGTGGCAGTGCCATCCACTCATGTGGAAAAGTGCCCAGGGCCCTGGGGATCCCCTCTCTGCCACGGCCCCCAAGAGGTTCAGTAAGGAGCTGACCGCCCTCGGTTTCCCTGCGGTTGTGTCTTCATAGTGGCTCCTGTTGAGTAAACTAACAAAACAGGAACAAGGAGGAGCTCATAATTTTATTTTACGATGAGCTACTGAGAATAATAAGAACCCTGGGCCGTGTTGCATCAGCCGCGAGAAGAGAGGCAAGCAGTCTGGACAAGCTTGTCTTTTCTTAGTGGCTGTCACGTTGTTTGCAACTATATTCTTGTCTGTGAGCTTCTTTAGGATCATGTAAGAAAAGACTAAGTGCGTCTGAGTTTATACTAAAAACTGTGTCTCTTCATTTATTCAACAAATTTACCGACAGCCTCTTATGTGCCTGGCGCTGTGCAGAGTCAGAGCCACTCCTTGGCGTCAGGAGCCCTGCAGGTGCTTCTAACAGCACGAACAGGAGAAAACCCAGGCAGGAGATGCGTCGGTCTCAAGAGTCGTCAGGGTTTGAGAAGGGCTGTGAAGGAGCAAGGTGCTTTCTAGACTCTGGAGTTGTGGGGGGTGGTGGGGGAATCTCGGGGAGATGGGGGAGACAGAAAGGGACACCAGTGACTGTCCAGAGGGCACTTGCATCACAAGGAAGTGGGAAGCCAGGGACGCATTTTAACAGAAAAGCCACCTGAATGGGGCTCTCAGAGACGCCTGCGTTTGGGGGGATGCTGCATATGCAGAGTTAACATGAGGGCCGGCAGGAGTGTGGGGGGCTCTGTTCTTGGAGGGGCTGAGAACCAGCGAGTGGCTGGGCAGGTGGAGCTGGAAGAGAGCAGAAGGGAGGGGCCTAGAAGCCTTGGCTCCTGGAAACTGGAGGTGAGCTTGGAGGAGAAGGCATGTGGGATGGACCTCAGGCTGGGAACGGTGGGGGCCTGGCGAAGGCTTCCACGTCAGCTTTTCCGATTCCACACTGGGAGAGGGCCCACACGAACAGAGGACACTCATGTTTTCTTTTGAGGAGGGAAAGGGATGGGGAGGTGGGCACAGAAGTAAAAAGTATCCTCCCTAAGCTGGAAATAGGGTTGGGGAGGGGACAGAGCTTGAGGAGCTGGAGATGCAGAGAGCCGAGGGGCCGATCAAGGAAGTGCGCAAAGGCTGTCTGTGACGTGGGGGTGAGGATGTTCGGGGAGCCCTGAGGCTACTGACATGGGGTCGATATGGTCAAAGAGGACTTCCAGTGGGCTTCCCCCCACCCCCCCCACCACCCAGCAAACCCAAGGGAATGAAATTAAGAATCCAAAGAACAGCATGGTGAGTGGGTGTTGGCTTATTTTAAAAGGAGAAATTAAAACTGTCAGCAAGAGAGAAAAGGGCTGATGGATGAGCAGGAAGGCGAAGGAAGGAAGGTACCAGTGTGGAGGGGTCAGTCTGGAGTGATGGGGGTAGGAGGATGGAGGGGTGGGATGGAGTGGTGGGGGCAGTGGGGAGAAGCCAAGACCAGAGGCACCTCAAGGCAAAGGCAGCAGCTGCCTCCATCAGGCAGGGCACCAGGGGGTCTGCTGGGGAGGGGGTCAGGGCACAGCTGGGGGCAGAAGGGTGCCCCGAGGGGGAAGCAGAGCCGGCCAACAGCAGGGGAGAGGACCCGGGTCTGCAGGCACCCCTCTGTAGAGTTTGGTAACCTGGCCATAGGGGCGGGGGCGGGGAGAGAGGCCGGGTGAGTCTCTTGAGGTGAGGGCTCCAGGTGGGCCCAGGGCAGCTTGGGGAGAGGAGTCTTGAGATGGTGGGAGGCTCAGGCTGGGCGGTGGGGCCTGGGGAGGGAACTTCTAGGCATGAGAGCGTGGGCGTCAGCACTGAAGCAGGACACGCTTTCAGCCACTGTGTCTCGGGTGGAGGTGTGGCTAGGGAGGTATGCACCCTTGGCTGGAACATGCTACCTTGCTCTGTTCTTCTGTTTTGGGAACTTACAGCTATAAAATAAGCTTGCATTTTATATTTCCCATAAAGGCATATTGATTCCGTACATGCTGGCAGTTTCTATGCACAGTCTTATAAACAGTCTGAAGAATTCTGAGTACAGACATCTGCGATGCTGGGCAGGCTAGGAGTCGGCCTAGTGCTGGGGGGTCAGCCAAGGACCTGGGTCTGTCCCCCCACTGGCACAGGGCTTCCTTAGCAAACGTTCCCAATGAGCACTGGCTTGTGCAGGGCCGAGCGGGCATCTCCACACTTACTTTAGCTCTTTCTTCACCTCTTCATAGTCAGCCTGTCCCTTGAGTTTTTCTTCCAGTTGCTGAAAACAGAGAGGGATTTTATTAGTGTTCGTGTCTGAAACAGGCTGGTGGGCTTAGCCATGGACTAAATGTGGTCTCCCTCCCACCAGATTCAAAAGCTGAGATGCTAACCTCCAGTGTGATGATGGTGTTAGGGAGGTGGGGTCTTGGGGAGGTGATGAGGTCATGGAGGGGGGTGGTGGAATCAGGAGTGGAATCAGGGCCTTAACAGAGACCCCAGATTTAAAAAAAAAAAAAAAAGGAGAGACCTCAGAGAGCGTCCTCGCCATTTTTGCCATGTGAGGTCACAGTGGGAAGACGCTGTCTGTGAACAAGGAAGGGAGCCCCCCAGACACCAAACACGCCGCTGCCTTGACCTTGGACTTCCAGCCTCAGAACTGTGAGAAGTAAGTGTCTGCTGTTCACACCACCTGGTCTATGGGACCCGGTCACAGCAGGACCAAGGCTAAGACCCTTCGCTGACTGCGTCCCCTGTGAAGCATCCAGCATCCTGAGGCAGCCTAGACATGCACAGTGGAAGGTGACAACTGTGGAGTTGTCCCTTGTCCTTCCCTCGTGGGGCTGGTGTTGAGTGGATGCGTACACACACACACACACACACACACACACACACACACACACACACACACGGCAGCCATGAAGTTGTAACAAAACTCAATGAAAATAGATGGAAGAAGTTTAAAAAAGTGCAAAACAGAACAAGGAAAAAGCCTCTTTGTATGAAATCCCCCAACATGGCAAACAGGGTGAATAAATGCTGTCCTAGCATTTTAAAAGCAGCGTGTGGCTTTTCACAAACTGCCCGAGGCCAGCTGATGAGTATGGTTAGTTGTCAACACCTCTGGTGGGACCCTGCTGATGAGAGTCACAGCTCCTTTGTCACTGGGGTCGGTACCAGGTATCAGGGAAATGCGTTTGCATTTCTGGATGGCATCCCCCAGATTCCAGGGTTTTCGGAGGAGAGATGGTCCACTGGGTAGGAGGTTAGGGGCTCTTCGGCAAGGCCCAGGGGCGTGACCGCAAGTTTCGTGGGTATGGGGATGCTCCGATGTGCTCCACTCAACTCTGTGAGCCCACGTGGCTGATTTCATTCAGAGCCCTGCAGGGCTTTCTCGCCAGGAAGAGCCTTTGGCATACAGTGGTGAGCAGAGGGTGCTTCCTTCTATGAAGGTGCGTTTGGCCTAGTTTGTTCTTTACCTGCAACTTCATCCCCCTGTCTCCCAACCAAAGGAGTCTTTTGTGGCAAATAGGACAACTTGACATGAAACACAAAGACTCAGCCAGCAGAGGGTCCTGGCCATTTAGCCTCTTTCCAAGCCTGGGGTGAACAACTTCCATCCTTGAATCAACAGCCCCTTCCCATCTGTAGGGCTCTGGTTGCCTTTCAGGCTCTGCTTGATCAGCCATGTCTATGATCACAGTTTAAAGCCAACTCAGAACATTCTAGAATTTGGGGAGAAGATTCCCACCTGGCCCACCAGCCTTGTGATGCTCACCTGAATCCCATGTGCCCCCATTTAGCCCATCTTTTCCTGCGGTCTTTGTGGGTGGTTTCTTGTGTTTGTATTTTCCATTGTGGAGAATTGCTTTGCCCTCATTCCTTTTTCAGACCTCTGGCCAACTTTCTCTATTATGATGGTTTCTCCTCACAATCAAACGGGAGGTAGCAGGCGCTCTTTTTCCGACAAAAGATGCTCAGAAGGTGCTCACGAAGGAGTGATTTTTTCATTCTCTTCCCTGTGGTCGAACAGCGGGGAAACACTTCCTGTTACAAGATTACCCAGTGCTGCCAGGACGCAAAGCACCTTCAGAGGATGAGACTCACTGCTGCTGGATGCAGGGCACATGTAAAATGTGGTCGAGTTCACAGAATAGGAGACGGATAGGAAGAAGGATGCACATGGAGCTTTCGGACCTGGCACGGCCCAGAACCCAGAGTCAGTTCTGTCACTCACAAGCTGAGTGCTGTGGGCACTTCGATCGGTGGCTCATCCGTGAGATGGGAGCAGCAATGACCTCTGAGGGTTGAGCGAAAGGGAGGGAGACAAGGAGCCACTGCAGATGCTGGCACTGTGGGGCCTTTGCTGCGGGACCACTGTCGCTGCCAGATCTCGGTGTGGGGTCCCTGAGGGTATGTCTCCTGGCTCTCTCTGCAGACCTGAGATCGGCCCAGATGAGAAGGTTTTAGGCCTGGAATCTGTTTGGTTGAATGTGAGTTTTCACGGAGAACTAAGCAGCTTCCACTGAAATTTCTGTTGTTTATCTGGAGGTAGAGTAGTCAGGAAGCACCCAGGACAGTGCCTGCAAACCTTGGTTGAGCAGACACCTGGATGGGGGCCTGGTGGGGCTGGTGCTGCCTCAGGACCTCTCCTGATGGACATGAGCAGGGCGGGAGGCACACGGTGTGGGCCCAACTTGGGGGGAAAAGCCCAAGAGCCCGCAGCTCCGTTCTTTGACCCCAGACTCTTTGCTGGGAGCTGGGAAAGTCTAGTTGAGGAGTATCCTGCCTGGATGGCAGCAGGCACTCCAGGCCGTCCCTCCACTGGAGAGTCTCCCCCTGGACTTCGATGATGCTCGTTGCACTGTGGGCCAGATCCCAGGCCTGGCTCCACACCCCACACACCATCTCATTTAATTATCTCAACATGTCTGCAGAGCATCTGTCTGTCTGTCCAGAGAAAGGAAAAGAAAAACCCAAAAAACACATGGGTTCTGCACTGCAGGCCTTGGTGGGATGCCTGAAACAAGTGCAGGAGGCAGTGAGGCGCTGGTGGGCTGGGGCCCGATAGACCCGAGCCAAGTCCTGGCTCAGCTACTGAGCAGGAGAGACCCTGGACAAGGCGCTTAACTTCTCGAAGCCTCGGTTTCTTCATCTGTAAAATGGGGGTAATGGCACACATGGCGCAGGGCTTCATGAGGACTAAATGGGACAGCTGTCCCTCGGCACCTAGAGTGGGCTGGTTCCGGGACCTCTGAGGTGCCAAGTCCACAGACGCGCTAGTCCCTTACATAGAACAGCGTGGGGCACTCGGCCCTGCAAACCCCTGGATGTGGAACCCGCAGACAGAGTGCCACGGGAATACTGAGCACCTAGCATGGTGCTCCGCACATGGGACTGCCCTCGGTACTGGTGGTGAGTTATTATGGCAGTTATTGCTACTTTATCCCTGGGCTGATCCTGAATATGGGCTTCCCTGGTAGCTCAGCTGGTAAAGAATCTGCCTGCAACACAAGAGACCCTGGACTGATTCCTGGGTCGGGAAGTTCCCTTGGAGAAGGGATAGGTTACCCACTCCAGTATTCTTGGGCTTTCCTGGTGGCTCAGATGGTAAAGAACCTGCCTGCAATGCAGGAGACCTGGGTTAGATCCCAGGGTTGGGAAGATCCCCTGGAGGAAGGCATGGCAATCCACTCCAGTATTCTTGCTTGGAGAATCCCATGGACAGAGGAGCCTGGCGGGCTGCAGTCCATAGGGTTGTAAGAGTCAGACACGACTGAGTGACTAAGAACAGCACAGCACAGCACTTCCTGAATATGACTAGACGGTTTCTGAAGACACTATATGGGTCTCAGGCCAGGGGCTCCATCTCTGAGGTTCTCCACATCCCCGTCTGCCACCTCCCAGCGCCCCTGCTGCTCTGGGCACATCCACGGAGAAGGACAGATGCCTGAACAGCTCTGGCTGTTCTATGCCAATGGCAGGAACGGCAGCCCTACATCTCGTGCTATGAACACAGAATCTGGGAAGCGGGTTGCCTTCCTGAGAAGCTGCTTGGGGGATGGAACAGGGAGGAAAGGTCTGACCTTGTACAGAGTGGGGAGGAAAGGTCTATGTGGAGCTGGGCTTCTAGCTCAGTCCTAAATGGCTGAGCGGGAGCCTGGGTAATAGGCTTAGCCTGTCGGGCTTCACATTTCTCCTCTGGGGAAGTGGGCGGGTGAAAACATGGGTTTGCAAAGGACAGAGTTGAGGAAATGTCAGATGCACAAGTGCAAGCTGCAAGGGCCCCTCCAACACATGTCTTATAACATAGGTCATGTACATTTAATATTATAGGGCTTCCCAGGTGGTGCTAGTGGTGAAGAACCACTGGCCAATGCAGGAGACTTAAGAGACATGGGTTTGACCCCTGAGTCAGGAAAATCCCCAGGAGAAGGGAATGGCAATCCACTCCACTATTCTTGCTTGGAGAACCCTGTGGACAGAGGAGCCTAGCGGGCTGCAGTCCATAGGGCTGCAAGGAGTTGGACATGACTAAAGCGACTTAGCACGCATGAACTCACATTTAATTCTACCAAGCTTAGGAGCTCTGGAGCTTAATGGCTCCAGAACTTAGGAGAGCTCATCAAATGTTCCTTGAATTGCTAGAAGCATTATCTATATGAAGTTCTCAAAACCCTGGCTAAGACTCAAATAATGAGGTAATTTAATTTCAAATGCAAAGTATTTTGGTGTGCAGCAAATTAGGTACTAAATTTATAAAAGACATCTATCTTAGTCAAGTTATAACATGGGGCCTAGGGCTGCCAACTTAAGGGTCTCTGGCACAGAGACTAACGCAAAGACCCTCGAGAGGCCTGGTCCTCTGGAATACACAGCGAGGGGTTGAGGAGGCAACACGTCTTTGCCACATGGCAGACGGGGCCAGAGAGGCGATTCCATTGCTGTTTACCGGTGACTCCGACTCTTCCCTCCGGGGTGATGGGAGCCAGGCTTCTGGCAGTGCTGTCTAAGGACCCACAGGTCAGGTTAGGGGCATCGGTGTGTGACACCTCACCCTGACGTGGACCCTTGGGCAGAACCCAGTGGGTATGATTGGGCTCCCTGGCCCAGGGCAGAGGTCTGAGGTTGACTCTTCTTCTGTGGGGGCTGGAACTAGACAGCGTGCTCCTCCTTTTCACCTGCACAGTGACCCCGCCCCCCCGCCCCCACCCCAGGTCTCCATTGCTCCTTGGTGAGAGGTGGCAGTTAAGTAAATTTAGGGTCGGCTGATGCTAGGGAGGTGCTGGGGAGTACTAAACCAACAGTCGTCCCTTGGTATAACTTCAACTTTCATCCCTGGGCAAGAAGCCCAGAGATGCCTGGTTGGGTGCTGTGCATGCTCTGCAAGGATGCTGGGGACGTGAGATCAAAAGGGGAGACCCCCCCTCTCCAGGCCGGGTGGTGGGGAGAGTGACTGTGACATTAGAGGCCTTGCTGCCAGCTGGAGAAGCGTGCTCTGGACAGAAAAGGGGGAGTCCCTGCGTGGTAACCCCATCACAAGTCACCTCCAGCTTCCTCGAGCTGCGATCCCGGGTGACTCAGCACAGAGGGGACGGGAGCGGACTCCTTATGGGTCCTGGCTGGATATTTCAGCCACCTGGACATTGCAAGGTTGGCTAAGTGGGCCACAAGCTGGGGACCGTCTGCAGGTGAATATCAAGAGTCACTCATCCAGTGACCAAGGGCACCTGTGTCTAAGAGGATTCACCGTGGATTCCTGAAATTAGCTTTGGAAGCATTTCCAGTAATGCCCACCAGTCTACAGCGATTTACTTATGACCTCAATCCAGAGTCGGGCCTCGAGGCCTCTAGCACAAAGTCCCCCAGTTCCTCCCCCTGGGGCATCACAACAGCTGCAGCCCTGGCCCAGGGCCACCTTCGCCCCTCGTGCTTTCAAGATGCAGCCAGGACGAGGCTCAGGGAGGCCCGGCCCCCGGGCTCTCTGATGCTAGGGTGTCTGACGTTAGGAATTGCTCGTGCCATCCAGGGCGAGCAGGGGCCGTGGAGGGACACGTGTACAGGTCTCTCCTCTACAGCTTCGGGCTGGATGGATCACGATCATACCCACCAGCCCGGTGAGCATCAGTGGGACTGGATGTTGGAGCTTCATACACTCGGCCAGTGATAAGATGCTGGTTAAAATGCAGTCAAGGGCAGCCCTGCTGCAGAGGAAACATGGCTGGAGAGGGAACTTACGTAACTGAAGAGGGAGTGTCCACAATTAAAGTTGCTGAACGAGTGCAGAGAAGTGGCTGTCGGTCTTTTTTCGTCCTCACCCTGAGAGAGACAGTGGCTCAAAAGGACCCAACAGAACCTCTGGAGGTGGCCTGAGCAGTGTGGATGGTTGGGGAGGCTTGTGTGGTTTGGAAAAAGGTCCTCATGTGATTCTAACACATGGGTCAATGCATCCAGTGAGAACCATTGATCTTTAAAGCATCTGTAGAAAATATTATTTCTCCCCAGGGGAGACCGCCTCAGTGAGTCTTTCTTGTAGACACCTGTTTTAAATTGGAGCTATTGGTAGCCATGTTTCCTGGGCTACTGAAGGGTTCTGACAGAAGACCCCAGAGCGGTGTTACCAGAGACAACAGCCTCATGATGGTGGTCAGGCTATTTCATTGGTTACGAGTACAGAATGATCCCTGACAAGTGGCATGGAGCTGAAGCACTTGTCAGATCAGACAGGAAGAAACGTCTCCCGCTTCTGAGTCCGTTTCGATGTCTAAAGGTTAGAGGAGGCACCACTGCCTTTGGATAGTGATGGCGAACTTGGCTTGAAAAAGTAGAACGTGAGGAGAGAGACTGGTAGACATCCAACCGGCAATTTATCCTCATGACTATCAGTTATGGAGGTGAAGGGAAGAAAGTATTCAGTCGAAAAGAGAGGGGGCGTGTCAGGGTGCTCGAGAAAGCAAACCGCTTAGTCCCCAAACATGTTTCATTACAGAGCACATACACTCTGGGGTGCCCTGGTGGAGAAGACCCCAGTAAGCTCAATACATAATAATCTCAAGGCTTGTCCACTGCACTTCTGCCCTTGTGAGACAGTCATCAAGCACATCACAATTTATCTCAGGTTGTGGTTAGTGTCCATGGTGAAACCACCCACCATACCGAGAGGCTGAGAGACAGCCGGAGGCTGTGGCGCTCTCGGCCGGCGATCCCAACCCGAGCCCCCAGAGCAGGTCAACACGGTCCAAGGAGGAAAGGACGGAGGAGGAGTGGTGCTGGTAGTGGCAGGAGGGGGAGGAGGAAACGGGAAGTCAGGGGAGGCTCCTGGCTGCTTCCAGAGGCCACCACAGCTGGCCCCAGACCCCTGGTGCAAAAGCATTGGGTTGGTTTGACAGGTCTCATTCATAAAATAGTTTCCTAATAATTGTTTTGCTGCTTAGTTTAGATTGGAGACTATAAATTGCACACATTAGGAAAGAAAAAAAGCCCAGGGAAGTATCTCATTCAATTAACCTTATTCCTCTGGGTGAGCAAGGCAGACGCGCTCGTTTGGGGAAGGCAGGCGCCTTCCACGAGTAGGTCTGATATCAGGGAGAGCTTTGCTCCTGGCGACCAGGGGTTAAGATAATTAAAATCAGAGAAGTCTTGTTACTAGAGGATATGTTTTGATTATTAGATCAGATGAAGATAAGGGAGTAATAATTTTGGAAGAAGTATTGCCGAATTGTTTCATTAACTGCACAGTATTAAAGAATTCCCCCAAGATATGGGTAAAGAACATTAATTTGTGAAACTGTGTTTCATTTTTGGTGAAGGCAAACATTAAAACCTTAACTGATTCGGAAGAAATTGCTCTGTAATAAAACGGTAGGGTCTACAGCCTCCCTCTCATGTAGTCAAACGCATCACGGACTTGAGTCGCACCCTTTAGCTGTTAACAAAGGAGGAGAAGGAGAATTATCTGATAGTTATGCCTCTGCTGGGGTCAGAAACGGCTGTTAACACGAGAGAATGACATTGAATCTGGAAATAAAAAGTGGGAACTGGTACTCTCTGTGCAAGCTGATGAGAGAATACGCAACACCAGCGAGTTGAACAACCATCTCCCTGTCCTGGCAGGACCGTGTCCTCGGAGGGGCCTGGGCACCGGGAAGTTTCTCAGGAGGTGGAAGAGAAACCCAAAGAGGCAGAGAAGGGTCTAGTGAGGGCGAACTGTGGCCTCCCTGGTGCCAGCGAGGTCAGGCCAGCGAGCTGCCAGGAGGACAGACTTGCTGGAGACTAAGTGCTGCCTCAGAAACATGATCATGAGTTGAGAAGGAAAAAAAAACAAAAAAAAACTCAACTTAGAAAACATCAAAATGGGGCCTAACCACATTCTAGAATTACTTTACATAAGAGAAAGTTTTCCTGACATTTTTTACGATTAACTGTGATCCACTTTCTCTCGTGCACAGGGACTATAATTGGCCGTTGGTCGCTTATCTGTTCACGCCCGTCACGAATGGGCGCTGAGTGGAGGTGGGGGGGCCTTGTGGGCGGACGGCAGAGCTCGTGCCTCTGCCCTCACTGGTCCTGTCTCTTCGTCGTCAAATAAGATCCCACTGAGGAGTCCTTGCTGGCTCTGATGTGTGAGCCTAGGGTGCCAGGACCACCTCCAAATTATGCTAACTTCAACAGATTGAACATACCTTAAATAAGTATAATTTAAAAAATACAATGGAGAAGGTTCTGGGTTCCGAGTTTGGGACACAGATGCACGAGACGCCGCAAGAGGACAGAGTGTTTGGCTAGACGGCCGAGGACTGCGGGTGGGAGATCAGGGGCAGATCGTGGGGGCTCTGGGCCCTGGCTGCTGGCACAGGCCAGCGGGTCAGAAAACAGCCCTGCAGGTTGGGAGCAGGGCCCCCCAGGATCGGTGCTGACTTGCCCGAAGTGAACCCTTGGCGTTTTTTGTTTGGGCGCAGGGAGGGCTGGGGTCCCAAGGGGCTGGGCCCTCCTGAGGCAGCCTCCTCTAGGGGCCAGGGGAGGCCGGCAGAGCTGGGCTACTGTGCTCTAGCCCAGGCCAGCGAGCTCACAGCCTCGGGTCCAGCACCAACAGCCTCTGAGTCCTTGGACGATGAGCAGGCGCTGTGGGCGGGCAGGCCCCCAGGAAGGGGGTTTCTACCATGGGCTGCATGAGAGGATGGCCGACTGGCAGGGACGTGCCACCCGGGTCAAAGCCCGTCCTGCCTCGCTGTCTTGGGCTTCAGGACTCTGCTTCCAGTCACCTCACAGGGGTCAAGGCTGCCTTGCCTGCTGTCAGTCAAGACACGGAGTCCTCCAAACAAGAGCCTAATGGAGCTTCTGAGAGGAGGTGAGTCCAGGGGAACCTCATGCCTCCTTCTACTGTCCTCACTGGAGGGAGAGACTCAGGCTGATGGCTGGAGCTCGACCGAGGTAAGTCCCCAGTAGTCGCTTTTGCTTTTAAAAGGAGAAGGAATTTTAACCATCACTGTTACAGACAACAAGATGGCTTTGAGGTGAGGCACGCTGCCATGGTCATTACACAGTGGGGTGAAGTGCCCTTTGAAGAGCTCAGGGTGCTGGTGGGGAGCCAGACGCCATGTGCCCTCCAGGACCATGTGTGGAGGGAGGTGGTGTGTGCACCGCCCTTCCCGGCCCCCCGAACTCCCTCCCAGCCCTCTGACGCCCTTACCTTGAGGGTGCTGTTCTTGGCGCTCAGCTGCTGCTCGAGCTGGGAGATCTGGCTGGCCGAATTCTCACGCAGCTTGCTGAGGTTGGCCTGGAGTCTCTGCACGTCCTCCACTAGCTGGGCGATCTCCCGCTCCTTGGCGGCCAACTCAGCTTCCAGGCTGGAGCGGGTCAGCACCTCTATGGCCTGCTCCTGCGGAGGACAAAGGAGATGACAAAACCACTCCGGCTTCGGATGGGTGCCTGGAGTCGGTCATCGATGCCGGTGGCCGGCTGAGGTGAAAAGCAGGCGGCGGGAAGGATGTGGATGGTGACGCGGATGAGACGGCAGCACCTCGTGCCTCTGCTCGGACCTGCCCTGCCCATCGCCCTGCCTCCGCCGCCTTCCCACCTGCCTGGGAGCTGCCGCCTGGATTCGTCTGTTCAACAACTATTTACCGAATACCCACCGTGTACCAGGCACACGGCAGAGGACAAAAGGACAGAAGTCCTGTCCCCACGGGGTGGGGCAGGGTGGGCCTGAAGGTGAAAGTCCCTCAGTCGTGTCTGGCTCTTTGCAACCCCATGGACTATACAGTCCATGGAATTCTCCAGGCCAGAATACCGGAGTGGGTAGCCTTTCCCTTCTCCAGCGGATCTTCCCGACCCAGGAATCGAACTGGGGTCTCCTGCACTGCAGGCAGATTCTTTACCAGCTGAGCTCTCAGGGCGCCTTAAATACACTTATTAGCAGCACGGAGCATGTTGGATGGTGATAAGTGCCATGAAAAAACTGAAGCAGGGATGGGGCATCTGGGGTTAATATGTCAGGAGAAACCTCATTGAGATGGTGACTTTTGAGCAAAGGCCTGAAGGAGGTGAAGGAAACGGCCCTGCTAATGATGGCTGGGGACGCCAGAGGGGAAGGTTCTGAGGATGGCTTCTGGGATATTCCACAGCATTCGGATTTTTCTACCACAAGATGAGATTCGGTACCCTTTTGCTTTATTACTATATTATCTAGAAGCTGAGATATCATTTGACAAGTTGATTCTCAGAGTTGGCAATTAAAAAAAAAGCTAAAAGATGTGGAAAATGCATTATTTGGGGTTCCTTTGCTTACAAATTCTTTTGATAATTGCTGTTTTAAAAACCTTACTCCCCACTCCTCAAATTTGCTCATTTTAGAAAATATGCAAAACAGGGAAAAGATCTTTTTTAAAAGTCAAATTCATAACTCCACTTCTCAAGTAGGAGAGCAGTACTTTTATCAGGTTTTAAAAGTAACTGTAGCGCCTGAATAATTCTGGGAGCTTGTCTGCAGGGCGGAGCGCTTCTGGGTATGACTGATGGGGGTGGGGAGGGGAGGATGGCTTGGTCCCCGTGACAGCAGAGACCTGGGGGTGGCTCACACTGCGGTCTAGAATGTCACCATTCCCGCCGAACCCCAGCCCCTGGAAATGCACTGCTGCGTGCCGTGGTCTGGCCTAAACTGGGGCAGGAAACTGTGGCAGCTGCAGCCCCAGTTGGCAGGGACGGCCATGCCATCCCACATGTGACATGCCTGTCACAGGGTTCTCACTTTTGGGGACAGCTGGTCACTAGGGAAATAATGTTTCCTATCTCCCTCCCAGGAAACTAAGGCCTTTACCATGTAAGAATGTGAAGCTCTGTGGGCAGTGTCTCTAGTCTGCACGACGTTGTAAAGTAAGCCCTTCACTTCCCCTGACTTCTGGCAGATCTACCCGTGGCCCTGGGGCCCCAGTGAGCACTCTCCCGCCAACTTATTAAAGAGGCACATGCTGTCCAGACCAGTTCTGTTCAGACTGTGCTCCACGGACCGGTGCCAATTCATAAACCGTGGCCGGTACACAGTGAGACAAGCACTGAAATGGAGAATAAGCGTTTAGAAACTTTTACAGCAATCTGATTTTGCTGTGACATTTTTATTGTCTTTTGTAAAACAGTCTGCAACAGATTGGAAATTAGAAACAAAACAAAACAAATAAAAGCATCCTTAACCACAGAGAATTTAGGAAGCTCTGCCCTTAGACAACATGGGCAGGAACTGAAGTCAGGAGCCAAGGGACCGCAGAGAAGTCTCCCCCGCAGCGAGGACAGCAGAGGGGCCTGCGGATGAAGGGAGGGTATGGGTGGACGGGTGAGCCTGTGGGAAGAAGAGGGGCTCTGTCTCCGGGCACAGACGCCACAGGTGGGACGGGGTGGGAGAGGTAGGGAGCAGGGCACAAGGAAGCGGTGACCGATTCTGAGGGGCCGGCTTGAAGAGGACTGAGTCTGTTGGTACCTGAAAGTGACCACTTGGGAAGGCGGCCAGGGGGCCCTGACTTAGCAGGGGGATGTGATAACAGTGATAAAGGGAGGTCAGCCTCGTGGTGGGGGTAGGCTGTGCTATGGTATCTAATTGAACTTATTTACCAGTCTTCCAGGGATGAGGAATGGCAGCCATAGAGACTGTGAAAGTGCTCTTAGGGAAAGAATCTGTAAGACAAACCGGAAGGTGATCTGGGGTTTTCAACGGGTGAGTGCAGATCACCACATCAGAGACAAGGGGCTCAGAAGACATGTATAAAAACAGCAGCTCTCAGTGTGGCCCTGGACCCAGGATGGGGGCAGGGGACGGGCTGTCCCAGGGGATGGATGGTGACTCAGCTCCTGGGGCCCAGCCTGTCTTGGCCCACAAGTCAACCACGTGAATGTAGGCATGCCAATTAATTTAGGAACAGCCACAGAGTGCTTATTCGTAACAAAGCAAACATCATTCGTGTCTCACATAAATTATGTGAGATGAGATGAGGTAATACACCATAAAGCAATGGGACCTTGGAATTAGGATAGGAAACACCACACTCCTCTGCACCTGAATGTGCTCACTCCCATCTCTAGCACAAGGGCATCCTGTCGTCCCATCATGTAGACACAGTGGGAAATGGAGGGAGAGCTGGACAAGGGCCTGGGAGTGGACCAGGGGCTATGGGTGGAGGAGAGGCCCACACCTGGGTGATGGAGGCGTGGCCCGCTGATCTGTGGGCACCAGCTCAAAGGAGATGGTGGGACAGGGTCAGGGAGAGGTGGAAAACTGCAGGAGGTTGGCCTCTGGCAGTTCAGTAATAAGTAGCAATAACTGAAATTAATCAGTTGAGATTATTATTGAGAAATGTGGACCCAGGGGACCAGGACCACTGCCTCCCTCGTGTCTGTCTAGGCCTTGACTTAGCCACACCCAAATCCCTTGGTGGTTGTTTAATCGCTAATCATGTCCGACTCTTTGTGACCTTATGGACTGTAGCCCATCAGGCTCCTTGGTTCATGGGATTCTCCAGGCAAGAATATTGGAGTGGGCTGCCATTTCTTTCTCCAGGGGATCTTCTTAACCCAGGGACTGAACCCTCATCTCCTGCACTGCAGGCAGATTCTTTACCACTGAGCCACCAGGAAAGCCCAAACCCCTTGGGGGCTTTAGCAAACACATGGGGTCTAGCCCTGCGGTGGCAGCTGTGGTTCAGGGGCCTGGGGTAGGGCCCAGGGACTCCCCAGGGGCATGGCTGGGGTCCAGGGTCAGGACCCTGGCTCGGACAAACCATGGAAGGACAGAAACTGACTTCCCTCAGCCTGACAACAGGCCCCTGGGAGCACCAGCATGGGGTCCCGAGTCTGTCTTGGGGGACTTGCCTAGGCTCCAGGCTTCATATATAAGGGCCTGTGTCCCACCATATGTAAGGGTGCTGGGACTTGGGGGTGGGGGTGTGTTTCCAAAGGGGAGAATGAATGCAGAAGCAGTAGTGGCTGAGGGAGTCCCCATTAAACTGTCCCTTGGAACCATCTGCCTGCCTGCCAACCTGCTTGTGTGGACTCTCGCAGGTCACATAAATCCTCCCACAGAGACCAGAACACGAAGACCGGACAGAAGATGCCAGATAATGATCTCTGCTACCCTGCAGCCATTTTCAGGTGAAATACGAAAAAGATACAAGAGTGTTACTCAACGTGCGGGAAACCTGATGTGCGGTGATGGTGGGCTGGGATCCCAGCCTGCGAGGCAAACGCTTGGAGTCTAGGCTGACCTCTCCGGGGAGGGCTGAGGGACTGGGAGGCTCCATTTCCCTTCCTCCTCATCACCCTGCTATTCCTGCCAACGCCAAGTGGCCAATGTAGGTGAACTCCATCTGGTTCGTTCACCTGATGGACAGGCGTTTAGGTTCAAGGCGGCCTGGTGTGGGGCATCAGAGCCCCGAACTAACATTTTCCTATAAATACTTGCCAAAGAGCCTGCATATCTCCTGTCTCCTTGAGTGCGCACGAGTGTGCACCCATCCAGGGTGGCTGGATGGAGGGGGAAGAAGGGGTGGACTTTGGAGCAAGACAACCTTGGGCTCACATTCCAACTCGGTCATGTTTTAGCTGTGTGACCCTGGGCAGATGACTTAACTCTTCTGAGGCTTACATACAAAATGAAGGCAACAAAACTGTCCTCTAACGACTGCGGCGTCATGAGGCAGAGATGAGATAACCGTTAGGAGCCCTGCACGGCCCCTCAGGGTGGAGGAGCAGCGCCTTCCGGAATCGGCGATTCCACTAAGACCCCCGGGATCTTTGGCTTCTGCTGGATCTATAGCCTCGACTGTTTCTCTGATGAGTTCTGCCAGCCAAGCCCAACAGACTCTGTGCCGCTGGCCCAGTTTCCTATGTTTGCTCGTTCGCTCCCCGACTGGCTGGGGCTGGAGCTGCTGAGCTACGTGGGAACGCACCCCCAAGGGGAGCCCTGGCAGGGTCGCTAGCGGGAGACTGAAGCGGTGCCATGTAAACACTGCACTTAGCCGATGATGAAGTGTTTAAGCACCCCGAGGATCCACAACTTACTCTACCTGCACAAACACTCATTTCCTTCCAAAATGTTTTGGTTGCTACAGTCCAGGACTGTGCCAGGAACCCTCTCAATCACAACTTGTAGCTCAGGAGCCCCGTGTGGACACAGGATGCATGGCCTTCTCTGAGGGCCCCAAGTGACCACAGAGGCCGGGAGAAGCCGTGTAAACGCCATCCTCGACGGCTTCCTCCTGCCATGGCCGTGGGGCTGGGTCCCGTCCAGGTGAACTTGGACGAGGGGCCATTTTGGGCAAAATTAATACCAGAGTCCATTAAGTACAAAGGCTGTGATGGTGCCTTAAATGGAAACTTTTTCTCTGTATCCTGAAATGCTTAACTCATGTTTTAGTTAAATGTGAACTTAAAATCTCATCTTACAAGGGGTCCTCACACTAAAGTTTTGCTTTGGATCCGTTCCTGGGGAATAATTTTAAAGCTCTGGTCTGGGGTGGATGCAGCCCCTGCTCAAGCCCTGGCTTGGACACTGGGGCTGAACATTCTGGGATGAGGGGTTTACGTCCAGGGAGCTTCCATTTCCTCATCTATATAAAGAAATGACAACACCCCGCTTCATGGGCTGGGTGGTAGAGAGGCTGTCAGAGTGATGTGTCACTTATTACAGCAGGACGTCTCCCCCTCGACTGTCCTCTCTAAGGGGAGGGCCTAGCTCGTCCCTCCTGGCTCTCCCAGTGTCCACTGCGGGTCCCGGCTCACAGCAAGGGCTCTCCAACTGTCTGTTAAGTAAAAGGACAGGGCTTCCCTGGTGGTCCAGGGGCTAAGACACTGCCTTCCAAAGCAGAGGGTGTGGGTTTGATCCCTGGTCAGGGAGCTAAGATCCCACATGCCTTGTGGCCAAAAAACCAGAACATAAAAACAGAAGCAATGTTGTAACAAAGTCAATGAAAACTTTAAAACTAGTCCAAGTCAGAAAAGAAAAAAAAAAAAAAAAACTTAAGAAAAAATAAATAAAAGGATACCGACAAGTGTGATTCACCCATCATAGGCCGTCAAAGCTGAGGGGTCCTCAGGATCACTTCCTCCTTACTCTGCACGCCAAAACTCAGGCCTGGTAAGTGTTACCACCTGAGTTCACATCACTGGATGTGATGGAGTTGGCTTGGAAACTGGGGCTCCTGGACCAGAGCACTGATGCTGACCACAGAAGACTCGCCACTAAGGTTGTCGGATGACGGATTATGTGGCGGGACTGGCCTCGCTCAGAGTAATTTCCAGAACCCGTGTGAAAACCTATTTTATGGATGGTGCCACTGAGACTCAGGGAGGTTAAGCCACTTGCCCCACGTCACATAGCAGATAAACTGCAGAGCTGGGGTTGGAACCCAGGGGTTTGGTTCCAGGGTCGACGGTTGCTGCATGGCACTGAAGAGCCTGGAATCCAATAGTTCAAAGCTGCCCTGATTGAGCTGGGAAAGTTCCAGCTAAAAGCAGTTTCCATTAATCTTAGGAAAATCAAGAGGCAGAGGACTGAGAGGTGTGTGCCTGGCTCCTCGGGATCGCGCGCACGTTGGGCGAGGTCCAGACTATCATGCAGACGCAGAGTGGGTTGCTGCGTGATCACCTCCCTTGTTCCCCACCCCCACTCCCATCATGAAGCATTTTTTACTCTGGAAGGACATGTCCAGAAGAAGACCAAATCTCCAAACTTCCTGTGCAGTATCGTTAAGCCTTCAGCTTGGGAGTGCCGCCCATCTGCCAGCGGCAGCCCCCCAACCCCCACCAGCCTAAGCGGGAGGACGCTCTCTGCGGGCTCTGCACCTGGTGGCGTCACCCTGACCACCAGCACCAACGCACCACCAGCAAAGCTCCCCCTCTGCCTCAGTTTCCACCCCCAGACTGTCACAAGCATTCTCCACCAAGACAGCGGGACTATTTCAAATATTATCCCCACCAAAGGGATGCTCTAAGAAAGTGGCTGTAACACAGAGGTACGGGTGCAGGGCGACAGGGTCCCCGCGGGGCTGGGCCACCCACCACGTCCGGCGCCTTCTGGATCTGGGAGGCCAGCTGGAGAGAGTGGTTGGCTGACGAGAGCTGCTCCCTCAAGGTCTCTGCCTCTCTTTGAGCCACCTCTGCCCTCTGAAGGAAATGAAAAGGGTGGAAAGAGAAAGTACATTCGGTTTAACAACTGACAATTATTACAAGAACATTCATCAATTCATGCCTGACTGACTATAATTGATTTTCCTAAACACTCAACCTAATAAATGCTAGAAAAAAAACACAGAGAATGTGATGGATTTTTATTTTAAACAGTACAAGGAAGAAATAATTGAGCGATTATGACAGTAATTTAACGCTAGGAGCAAGGAATCCCCTGCTGATACTAGCGCTCCGGCCCACTGAATTTCCCAGACTGAATAAATACAAGTGGAAATGGAGTCTTTTGATTCAATTTCTTTCTATTCTCATAGACCAAGAAGATTTTATTGCAGGATTACTCCTGGGAGTAATTCTCACGGGTAAACAGTGAATTAAAGACACTCTGGCCATTCTCCTCCTGAAAACACGCACAACGTTGTGGTTGTTTTCCTCTAGCAAGTATTTCCATAAACGGACGGGGTGTAAATGCCACTTCTTTTGTGAGGACCAGGCTTATTTCAACATATTTAACCCTTCACCCAACCAAGCTTTCTAACGCCGAGGCTGGCCATTTTCAGCCAGCCAGGCCAGCAAGGCGTTGCTTGGGGGGCGAGGATGAACAGAGGCGCCCACGGGGAGGAGGTTGCAGGAGAAACAAGTGGATGCTTCTGTCATTTGCTGTAATTCCTGGCCAAAGACACCAGTGCCCCTGGACAGCTAACCAGGATGTCCCACCGGCTGGCGAGGACAGTCACTCCCATGCCTGTCACCTAAGAGGGCGCCACGGTGCAGTGGGCAGGAACTGGGCCTTTGGGATCAAGGGATGAGGACAGGTCACGTAGTTCAGCTCACCAAGCCTCCACCTTCCCATCTTTAAGATGGGAACACTCTCTCCCTCCCAGGGACTTTTCAAGGATTAACACCCAGAAGTACACTTGTCCAGAAGTGCTTTGTTGATGGGCTTGTCCCGACTTGACAGTTATGACTGAGACGAGATGCAAGACAGGTGGGAAGCAGTCACTACCTGACGCTGGGCACACGGTCTGAGGTGTGATCGCTGCTTCTTTCTGCCAGTCGTACATGCTGCTCACAGAAAAGATGAACGAGAAGAGCCTGGCTGAGTAAGGCTATTTCGTGTGTTTTATTGTGTGGTGTGACAGCGTGTACCTACTAATTGCTAAGAAAGAACTTTTGAAAAGAGAAGTACAAAGTTATCCTGCCCGGTACTTGCCGATCTGTCTAGATGTATGAGGATGGGGTTTGGCAGCCTCGAGCGGTCCTGCGAGGGCAGTGTGGCCCTGTCTGCTCGGCATCCAGACAAATTACGGTATTTCTAACAGTGGCTACTCCCACTCAGGGTGGTGCTGGAGGCTGCCTGCCATGCTGCTCCAGGAGCTCTCGGAATTGCACTCCATCTAATTCCCACGGCACCTGGCCAGGCCTGTCTGTGCTCCAGCAGCCGCCTCCCACCCTCTGCTGCAAACTGTCTTGAGGTGCCCATGTTAGGAAAGGCAGCAATATGACCAGTGTGGCCAAGATGCTGGTGGGCGGGGGGCTCATGGGTGACGATAACTGCAGGAATGTCTCCCCTCTGGTGAAAAAGATTTCCCCCTGAGTTTGTTCCCAGATGTGCCATGCCACGTGTTTTCTAATACTCAAGTCAAGTTCCTGAACATGTTCTGGAGGAGGAAATGGCAACCCACTCCTGTATTCTTGCCTGGAGAATTCCATGGACAGAGGAGCCTGGCGGGCTACAGTCCATGGGGCTGCAAAGAGTTGGACACGACTGAGCCCAGGCACACACTAAGAAGTTTACTCTTGTCTTTCTCCTCAGTTACACTTTTGGGCATAAAATCTCCATGGCTCTGCAGCTAATCCCGCACAAAGCTGAACAACTGGAAATCAAAACAGGCCTCAGAGCCGTGGAGGAGAGAGTGGAGGCCAGGAGCTGCTGCGGTGAGTGAGCCTCTGTAGCTGTGGACGTAGCCGCACCGTCAGCAGCTGCGGTGGAAGGAAGAGGCGATGTGCTGGGTCGGCTCCCTGACAGCACTTGTTTCCGAGGCCTGCCGTTTACCCCTCGACCACAGTTCAACCAGATGAAACCTCGTTTTTAGAACCGGAACCAACAACGAGAGGGGCGGGCTCTGGGGCTGGTTTCTGATCCGCATGCCCAGACAGGGGCCGTGGGTGCGGGAGACACGTAGCTCCTTGTCCCCACTGATGGCAGCCTCCTCATCCTCCCTGCAGAGGCAGAGCCAGGGCCGAGGCCGGGCTCCCAAGCTGGTGGCACCATGGATGTGATTCAACGGCCTCCCACGGTGAGGACAGAGGCTGGCCAAGCCTGGGCTGCCCTCCTGAGAGATCTGCTGGCTGTTTCTTTTCTTTTTTTTTGAATTTCTAAAAACCTTTTTATTCCTCCTTTCAAGAAACGAATGCAAGTGGTCACTTTTAAAAAGCTGGCCTAAAGATGCTCCCTGTGTAGCTGCAGCCATCCTAGTGACTGAACCAAAGCTGCTGGCTGTTTCTTACTCTGTCCTTTTCTGAGAAGCAAGGGCAAATGCTGGAAGCACAGGGAAAGTAAACGGGAGTGGGGCAGGGAGTGGGGAGCATGTGAATGAATGAGGGTTTTGCTGTGCATTGTGGTGGTAACTCTGTCCATAGAGATAGATAGAGCTGCCCTGCAGGACGACCAAAGAGGTAACACAAGCTAGGTGCTAGCAGCACCCACCACGGGCTGAGAGGCATTCAGTGAGGAAGGATGAGTATTATTATTTTGGCCTCCTGGCATGGGCTGCCTTAGGTGGCAATTATTCTTTCCTTACCTTTAAAATGAGGACAGTTTTTTAAAATTTAAAATCTTAAAAGTTTCAGGGGACAATTACGAGAGACCGAAGCTCGTCTTCAGGTGAAACTCTAGCTCTCTTCAGCTGTCTGTGACCAGGAAGGCAGGATGCTTTGTTGGCTGTGGGCACTTTGTTTCAAGAATTCTGTTAGTCGAGCCAGCACAGGGCAGGGACGATTCCGCACATGTGACACTGGCTCAGGCGGCTGCAGCCCGAGGCGGGAGCGGGGGGCGGGGGCTGGCGATACCGGTCTTGGCCCGGTGAGGAACATGAGCCCTGGGCAAGGTGGCTGTGCTCCCGAGTTCTCTCAAGGGGCGTGTCTCCTCCCCTAGAAACAAGGCTGGGAAGTGAGGGAATCCTCCCCACCTCCCCCGTCAGGGAGGCTTTCCTGTTTACCCATTTAAGGTGTGGCTTTGAGGTCCCTGATTTTATATGGTTGATAGTGGTGGTGGAGGTGGTGTGTCTCCGATCTAGACTTCTGCCCAACCTGGCCCAAGGCTCAGGGACACCGGAGCTGAGCAAATCCCTCCAGGGATGCGGCAGCCACGGGAGTGGCTGGGGACGTGGTCTGAGGGAAGGCTGTCCCCCCGTAGGACCTTCCCAAGGCTGCTGAAGCAAACTCCCACACATTGAGTATATTATGTCCTACAAGTTGATCACGTCACTGTTCTGAGGTCAGGCATCCGCTACAGGGCTCACTGGGGTAAGATCAAGGTGCTGGCAGGGCTGGGCCCTTCCTGAGCCTCTGGGGGAGGATCTGTGTTCTGGCTGTTTCCAGCTCATAGAGGATGCCCGCATTCCTTGGCTTGTGGCCCCTTCCTCACTGTGGCCTTCAGCACATGCAGTGGCCAACTGAATCCTCGCATCCCCTCACTCTGACCCCTCCTGCCTCCCTCTCTGCCTCTGCGGGCCCTGGGGACCATGGAGGGCCCACCTGTATAATCTCACACCTCAAGGTCAGCAGATTAACAGGCTTGATTCTGCTCTGCAGGTAAGTGAACGTACCCGCAGGTTGTGGAGTTTGGGATTTGGACATCTTCGGGGGAGGTTCTCCTGGCCACCATATTCCTCGAGTACAAATAACACATTTGGACCCTTTCTGGGAGAAGGCAAGGTCTCCTTGGGGATGACCCTTCAACCTGTTTCCCTCCCTTGAAGAAGAGAAAGGGGAGCAAGACTACAAAGACCAGCGATAAACTTTCCAAGGGAACAGATGCCATCACTCTGTAAAGCACACAGCTAATTTCAGGTCACCCTTCCAAAGCAGCACCACCCAGTGCTGTGGGGGACAGCTAGGGCCAGAGGTGGCCCCACTTCAGTGATGCTATTGGAGGAAGGTCAGAAAAGCCCACCGGGAGATTAATTGCCATGTGTCCCAAGCTGGCCCCGTACTGGTGGCTGGAGTCCCGTCCAGGCTTCCTGCCTGCGTTTCTGGGGGATTCGATGGATATTGATTTGAATTTCTCCTTTCAAGGGTCAGCCAGGCTGAAAGCTGGACCTAACTCAACGCTATATAAACCCAACTCCTATAAACTTAAAAACTGTCACAGTCTGCTGACTGCTGAGTCGTGATTTCAGAAAAGCCAGAAGAGCAAATTTCCCTACCTCCTCCTGCCCCCAAAGCTCTGAACTTTCTGTTGTTGTTGTTTTTAGTCTGTAAGTCGTGTCTGACTCTTTGTGACCCCTTTGACTGTAGCCTGCCAGGCTCCTCTGTCCATGGAATTTCCCAGGCAAGAATACTGGGGTGGGTTGCCATTTCCTTCTCCAGGGGATCTTCCCAACCCAGGGATCGAACCCGGGTCTCTTGCACTGCAGGTGGATTCTCTCCTGATGAGCCACCTGGGAAGGCCCTCTGAACCTTAATAGTCACCAGTAAAGACAGTATTAATACAAGCATCTCAAAGTTGAACAAATAGGTGTAAATAAACCCGGCTCCTAATCGCCTGGTGCTGATTCTCTTCCACTTTCCCTCACTAGAAACAGAAGTACTTTAGCTATAAAATAGAGCTTCAGGTCTCAGTAGAACGTTTTGACTATAAACCCAGTGCAAAAATAATGTTATATGCCAATGAACTAGCAAATTGCTCCTCCCGGGGCTCTCCCCTGATGGGAAAGGCACAGAACCAGATGTCTGGCTGTGCCCGCCCTGGTGCAGCTCCCGGTGCCCCTCCTCCCTCCCGCTTCCGCCTCTGCCTTGTCGCAGTGGGGCAGAGCCCTGCCCTGATCCATCTCAGCAGCTGCTCACTGCTCTCCCGGCTTCCGGTCCTTTCACACCCCTCCGCTCTCCGCTGTCTAGCCAGAGCAATCCGTCTAGAACTCAAATCCGGCATCTCACTCCTGCCTGTGACGCTCCACTGTTCTCAGGATGAGGCCCCCTGCCCCAAACCTGGCTGGAACCCCTACTCTGGGCCCACGTTCCCAAAGTGGCTTTTAGGAACAGCCTGGAACCCTTGAGTGCTTCCTCGTCCTCCTGGGTGCCCTCCTCCCTGTCTACCCAGGAAGTTTTTCTCCTCATTGAGTCACCCTTGTCAACCTGCTGAGTCATTGAGTCCAAGCACTTTCTGTTTGCTCTGTGTCTGATCCTCCACCTCACACGCTCAGCGAGGTCTGGCCCATATCTGCTCACATAGCTCTTGACGGGGAGCTCACTCCTTTCCAAGGCATCTCCAGGTACCTCTGGAGACTCATTGTTAAGAACAAGCTTCCCTGCAAGGGATAAGGGGAGCTCCCTCCCATTAGCCTCTGCCCTCAGCCATGACAAAGCCCGACCCCTTCCCTGGCCAGTCCTGGAGAGCTGCAAGGCCAGAATCCACAACTACCACCCTAGGCCTTCCCCTTTCTGATCTCTTAACATCCCAAGTTCCCCATGTGTCAAGTCCCTCTGTTTTCTTTCTCTGCTCCCCAAAGAATAAAGATGTCCCCAAACCTCCTGGTTTCTCTCCTTGAGGGTCCCTTCCCCATCCTGGCCATGGAGTGGACCCTGAAAGCACTCCTTGAATGCCTGCCTTCCTTCCAGGTTTCTAGGACGAATGACAATTCCTGGGCATGGACTAATTGCTACAGATGGGTGCTGAATCATCACCTCCTTCATTCCAGAGACTATTTCTATTAATGCAGCCTGAGGTTGCATTAATCTCCTTTGGCAGGCACATCCGGCTATGAACTCGCCCTGAGTTGGCTGGTTAGGCTCTCCTGTACCTCCCCATACCTTCACCGTGCTGGTACTTCCCTAGGGTGGGACTCTGGAATTCTCCCTGTGAATCTGGCTATGTTAGCAACTACAGAGCACGAATTAAGGCACTCACTTCCAGGCATGTGTGCATGCATGCTCAGGCGTGTCCATTTCTTTGTGACCCCATGGACTGTAACCTGCTAGGCTCCTCTATCCATGACATCTCCCTCTCCAGGGGATCCTCCTGACTTCAGGGATTGAACCCACGCCTCCTGCACTGGCAGGCGGATTCTTTTGCCACTGAGCCATGCAGGAAGCCCCCACTTCCGGGCATTTTACCTCTGATTCTACAAATAATCCTGCAAAGGAAGTGCAGGCAGACCTCCTTTTATCGTGCTTCTTTTTATTGTGCTTTCCAAACACTGCTTTTTGCAAATTGAAGGTTGGTGGCAATCCTGTTTTTCCAATAGCTTTCTTTTAAAATTAAGGCATGCGTGTTCACTGTTTGTTCGGACACACTGCTATTGCACATTTAACAGACTTGCAGTGCAGCATAAACGTCACTTTCATCTGTACTGGGAAGCCGGAACATGTGAGTGACCTGTACTGTGATGCCCGCTCTGCTGTGGTGGCCGTGAACCTGAAATCTCTCTGAGGTCTACCTTGCACTCGCTATCATTCCCTCCCTCCCTCCCGTTCTCTTGAACATTAACAAGTTTTTTTTTTTAATTAAAAAAATTAAATTATGGTAAAATACAATCCCATAAAATACACCATCTTAACCATTTTTAAGTATAGATTTTATAGTAGTGTTAAGCATGTTCGCATTGTCGGGCAACCATCTCTAAAACTTTTTCATCTTGCAGAACTGAAAGTCTTTCCCTATTAAACACTATAATTCCCCATTCCCCCAGACCCTGATACCCACCCTTCTACTGTCTATGAATTTGATGACTGTAGGGACCTCATATAGAAGGAATCACACAGTATTTGTTTTCTTCTTTTTGTGACTGGGTTAATTTTCCTTGGCATAAGGTCTGCAAAGTTAATCTTTTTCTTTTCTTTTTTAGAGAAATATAAGCAGTGAAGAGACTTGTCCAAGGACACACAGCCAGGAAGTACTGAGTGGGGACCTAAGCAAACTGCCACTTTGGAGGCGGCACCTTCTGCAGGGTCCCACCTGGCGTCTCTGAGGACGCAGAGCCACCCAGGGCCTTCGGCATTTTGAGAAAAGCGCACCTCTGCCAAATATGCTTAGTACCTGTGGACTAACTGGAGCCTGAGCACTTGATATGCACAGTATCAGGTTAGCTAACAAACCAGAGCTTACCCCAGAGTGCCTTCAGGAGGGGAGGCTGGCCCAGGATCAGCCAGGGGCAGAGAGTGGGTGGGTGAAAATTTGAGAAATGCGAATGACAGTCCTGTGACAGGGAAGCTTATCAAGTATGGTCTCTGCAAAGTTGAGCGGTGCTACTTGAATAAGAACAAAGGGGCCAAAGTAAAGTAGTTTATAGTAAATTAAGGTAAATAAATGCTTAGGCACCTTTGTGAACTGGAGCACAAGTAGTGCTTTAGGGCAGGGAGCTGAATGGGCGTTTTGGGGACTCTGAAAGAAAGGCGAAACGAGCCATTGGGCTCCAGCCCTGTTTCTGAGTGTGGTGAAGAGTCTAGGCTCCAGGCCTGACTCTGCAACTGACCGGCTGCTGGCCTCAGTTTGCTCACTTGTAAAATGGGAGTCATAACCACACTGATCTTGGTGGAAACCGGTGAGGTTTAAGGGGCTTGGTTCATGTGAAGTGTTCAGAACAGAGCTAGGCACAAAGCAAGTTACTCAAGAATGGTCAGCTCTTCTCCTTGTGACCAGCAAAGTTACTACACAAACATGCTGCCTGGGACTTCCCTGGCAGTCTAGGGGTTAAAACTGCACTTCCAATGCAGGGAACACGGGTTCAATCCCTGGTCAGGGAACTAAGATCTCACATGCTGTGTGGTATGGCCAGTAAGTAAATACATTAAATTGAATTACTTTAAAGATGCTACCTGGGATGATGCAGTCTGGGCGTCTCTACTGAGCAGCCCCCATGGATCAGGCCTAGGACCCTCCGAAAGGAGAAAGGAATCCAGATGACCTATGTCTGTTCTCCTGCATAAACTGACTTTCACATTTCAGTCAGAGCTCGGGGTATAGGGATGCTCTTTCCTGAATGTCTGCCAAGGGGTTAGGAATGCCAGCTGGGAGGCAGTCATGCTGTGGGACCCTCAAAAGGCAGAGAGCTGAGACTGCAGATTCGAGAAGGATTTTCATCCTCTTGGGGCTCCCCTAAGCTTCCCTGTGCCTGGGGCGGCCCGGCTGTAAAACTAAGTGGGGAGAGGCCATGACTGCCCCGTGCATGGCCTTCTGGGGCTGAGAAACCTAACCCAGCTCTGGCTGCTTCTCTCCACTAAAAAAATAGACTAGAAGAAAATAAAATAAAAGGGGGGTTTATTTATTTTATTTCCTTTTCAAAGCAGTAGCACCATTTGCTGAAGCAAAATGTTTTCGTCTTCTGCAGAGTTCCTGGGGAAGGGCCGGGCTTGGCAGGGTGGCAGCTCTGTATTTATTGCCATGGGATACACGTGTGTGGGCCAAGTCTCTGTGACCCCATGGACTGTAGCCCACCAGGCTCCTCTGCCCACTGGATTCTCCAGGCAAGAACACTGGAGTGGGTTGCAATGTCCTCCTCCAGAGGATCTTTCCAACCCAGGGATCGAACCCATGTCTCTTATGTCTCCTGCATTGGCAGGTGGGTTCTTTACTACTAGCCCCACCTGGGAAGTCCCGTTTAGAGGATACTGTGTGCCTATTCTGTGTGGGACACAGTGCTGGGGGTACTTTCCACAAAAGTGGATGATGACTGTGATGACTAAGAATCAGACGAGAAGGTCCGTTGGCCAGCAGCCCTCTCCAGAGCAAGTGGCTCAACCAGTTAGAAGGTGGAGGCACAGACTCTGCTGCAGGGTTAATGTGTTGGCATAAACTCTGCTGCTTAACAGCTGTCACGGGAACAGTGTGGAGACTTAAGATATGGATGAAGGAAAAGAAAAAGCATCACCACAGGATGCCTGGGATGCAGGGACAGTATCAGAGACTTTCCCAAGGAAATCACACCTGGGACTTCTTACATATAGCTCGTGGCATCAGAAAAAGCATCAACCTTGATAGGTGTATGTGGAAAATACAAGACTAAGTGGCTTCCTGATTTAGAGAGAAGCCCCTTCCGTGAGGACAGAAAGGGTTATGCTCTTGTGACTTTATGTCTGAAGCTGTCAAACATCCTACCTGGTTTGCTCTTTCAAGGTCCGTCATGATCATTTCAATTTCGTCGGCCCTGGGGAGGTGAGAGGGAGAGAGCAGGTTAGTCAATGGGCGAGGCAGGCTCAGGGGCCACCACTATTCCCAACTTGGCAGCGTGGCCCATGGGCACACAGGCCAGGCCAGTGTCAGGGCGGGGGCCTGCAGACCTGCAAGGGGACACGGATGCCTGCTGGCAGGAGGTGGGCTTACATTGAGGGAAAGAGCCTGTGTGCTCTTGAGGGGCACCCAGTCTCTTTGGGGAGACAGTGCGTCCTGCCAGGAGAGCCCTGAACAGAGCTCTGAACAGAGAGCTCTGGAAAAACAGAGGAGTCAGAGATGGATTCTCCTTGGGGGAGGGAATCAGGAAGGTTTCAGAGGAGGTGATATGAGAACTGGGTTTTGAAGGATGATTCGAAGTTTGCCAGGACTGAGAGAACCACGGACAGGTAGGGGAGGTGGGGAGAGACTGGGGATGCAGGCTGTGGGGCTCTGCAGTCTGCACCATGAACCAGCTGAGTCACCGTCACCTCCCACCTCCGAGCCTGCTCACACACAGGAAGTTGCCAGGTGCTTTTTTTTTTCTGTTCTGAAAGTCCTTTCTTGAGTAATTTGAAGGCACATACATGCTTCCAACATACAACATCATGAGAGAGAGAGGAACCATGCTCAGAGTTCTACTGAGGACAATTCCAAAAGTCTGTGGCAGGTCTGAACAGAACTCCATGGTAGCCGCTGCCCCAGACAGGTCCCGATGGTGGCCCCAGTGAGGAGGTCAAGGTCAAGACTGCTGCCCATGAGAGGCTCAGTAGCCCCCGTGAAAGGGGATGGGACATTACAGCATGGACTCCCTCCGCTGGGGCAGCCTCATTCCAGGCCCCGTGGGGACCTGAGCTGGCCCTGCTTTCTGCAGGACTCAGGCCCGCCCCTCCCTGCTGGACTGCTTGCTTGCTGGACTCCCTTGGCTGTCCTTCTGTGTCGAGGCTCTTGGCCCCCACCCACAGCCCTGTGCCCCAACAGCTCCCACCACGCCTGGACTCCTATGTAGCCTGGACCTGTACTGCCTGTCCCATCACTCTCCACCTCTGGGAGCCTCGTCCCCTACTTCCGCCCCTCCCCCAACCCTGCCAGTGGCTCCATCTCAGGAGGCAGCAGTCTCCCCACCAGTGTACATCTCCTCCACCTGCTGGCACAGGGCTTGGTGTTAAGCTGATGGTCAGAGTCCTGAGTGCAGCTGGTCCTTCCAGTGATGGGCTGGTCGGCCAATCTACCCGCTGGGGGCAGGTCGGGGTGCCTGGACAGGCTGACTCCAGGGTTCTTCTGTTCCCCAAACCTGCTACTCTGGTCCTAACCACCACCCCCCCGCCCCCCTTAATACAGAGAGTGGGACGAGCTACTCAGGCCCTGGCCGGTCTGTTTTTGCTATCTGCTGCATCGTGTGTTCCTTCCTACGGCCCTGAGCCTTTCCCAGCCTTTAGGCATGCCCTGCGATTCCAGGCAATCTCATCAACTCTCGGCACTCTGAACAAGGTAACAGACGCCTAGTGATCAGGTTCACAGATCGTGGTATCTGTCTGAAACAGTATCCTGCCTTCAGACTCGTCAGAGAAAAGTCCGAAACACCTCATCAAATGGCCTGATTAAATGAAGTTATTTTTAGGCCAACTTGGTGAAGGAGGCAGTGTCTCAAAGACAAACACTCAAACTGGGGCCCTGCAGGGAAATGCTGGGGGCTGGGGGTAGGCCTGGGGTGGCTTCAATTGGGAAACATCTCCCTGCACCATCTCAAAAGGAAACCTCTAGGATATCAGAGAGAAACTGCCGTGACTCCGGAGGGTAAAACCATCATGGAAGTGTTAAGATCTGCTGTGACAGAAAAGGGGACTTGACGGTCAGAACCGAAAACTGTCTAGACAACCTGCTGATGAAGCACAAACTTCATTGTGTATGCAAAACAATAAAAAGTTAACAAACTTCTCCTAAGGCAAATCACTACTTTTAAATGCAGTTTTGAACTTAAATCAGTTATTCACTACTTATCCACCAAGTCCAGATCCACGTGGCCACCCGCCCAGCCTGCCAGCTGCTGGCATCATTCGGACACTCACTCATTTGGTCCATGAATGTTTCGAGATACCTACAAGCTCGCCGGCCACAGGATGGGTGCAGGCAGACGTGGCTCCTATAAAGTCCACTGGGGCTGCATTTACAAGAGGCAGACAGAAACGCTTGGCTACTGAGCACCCAAAACAAGACCTCCAGGTGCCCTGTCTCCCTTCTCTCTGGAGCACGTTGGGGAGCTGGTGGCTGCAGGACCCAGGAGGTGGACGGGGAACGGCCGGGGCTGGAGGAGTCAGGGAGGGTTTCCTGAATTTCTCCTGTTATATCTTCCACGAACCCCTTCCTCTTTACTTTTGGCTAAGTCATCTCTGTTATTCAGATATTCTTCTACTCAGTTTGGCTCTCCCATTATCTGGCTACTGTCGGCATACCTACTTCCGCCCTTCACATTGTCCAAACTTTCCCTCCATTTGCTGTGTCCTGATCCTCTCCTGCCCCTCTCGACGGTTCTTCAGCTTGATCCCCTGTACCTGTGCTCAGCCTGGGATCCATCTCTTTTCTCTGCTTCCTTGGTTTAGTTTTTCTGTCTCTCATTCCCACTCCCTTCATTATTAAGTTATTCCTTGGTTTTGCTTTATGTTTCCTCGAGAGTATTTCTTACACTTATTTCATATGACGGGCCCATCTGACTGCCTTCCAGAGAGGGCTGTCCTCCTCTGGGGCCGTTTTCCCTGGGGTTACCAGCTACTCTTCCTGGCAGTGTACACAGCGGGGTGGGCAGCACAGAGAGGCAGACCTGCTGTGTATTTCTCAGGATGAATCAAAAAAGACACACGGCAATGTTCAATGCATTTTGCTGGGTGAAGGAAGGAAAGGCAGGGAATGACCCTAGGTCTCCAGAGTAAACTGATAGCGCCTTTCCACCAGGAAAACTCTTTGGCCAGAGCTTCACCTTGCTTTCTTTCCTTCTTTCTTTCATTCATTCCTTCCTTTCTCCATGCTGTGCGGCTTGCAGGATGTTAGTTCTCTGACTAGGGATCGAACCTATGTCTTCTGCAGTGGAAGCTTAAAGTCCTAACCACTGGACCTCCAGGAAATTCCCAGGGCTTTGCCTTTAATTCTCAGCATTAGGAGGAGGTGATCCCCCTGGTAAAATGCCCCAACTTCCGTTCTGGAGATTAAGGGTAGAGGTGTGACTGTCCGGGGACCCACGCTCACTTATTTTTAATCCACCCCTCACTCCTTGCCTGGCTACTGTCATTGGCCATGGGGTCAGGACAAGGTCAGACATAGGCCTGGGCTAGAAAAGAGAGGTATTCTCAGTGATTCTCTGGCTTCACAGAGAGGCTGGGTCAGCAAAGCTGGGACCTGCGGGGTCTGGGAAGTGATGTCCAGATCCGGCCAGATTTAGGGGCCTGGCTGGGCCTGAGTGCCTCCTAGGTGAATGGTTTTGTTTGGTCATTACAATACCCAGTACCCAGAAAACAATGTATCATCTCTGAAAGATTTCAAGTCACTGATTAAAAAAAAAAATTAGCCACATTTAAACAGGAAGGTGTCTTTTTGGCATTCTGCAGCAATCCCTGGAGATGAATTTCAAGTTTTTCCATCTTCTCGTCAGTTTAACTTTGGTTACTAGGCAACTGCTAAACTGACCAAAATATTGAATGTGATAACAAGCGCGGCCCTTACCTTTCATTATGAGAGCAAGTCTCATATTTCCAGAGCTTTCAGACGATAATGCCAACACTGAGTCCTGCTGTTCCAGGGCCGGGAAATTCAACACTGGCTCCCCTGAAGACAGCAGGGCCCAGGGGGGCTAGATGGGACCAGAGTCACAGGAGACAATGGTAGGAACCAGGGATGCAGTGGACGAGGAAAAGTTCAGATGATTATTATAGAAGTCTGTAGGCTCAGTGATGCACCTTCCCAAGGGGGCATGCTTTTTAAAAGGTGATATGAAAAACACAACCCGCTGGGTACCAAAATGTGATCAGGGCTCCTGGAGACACGAAGCGCAGCCCTTGGTGCTGGCAGACTTGTCAGTGCTGGTCGAATCTTAGAATTCATCTGCTACCGAGTCTGTACAACTCACTCCTCACCAAGCTGCTGCTGCCCCCCTCCCTCCTCAACAACATGAATCCTACCAGACAAACTGCCCTCAACAAGTAACATGAAACTGCCCAGGGGTTAAGAAAGCAACTAGAAATGTTATCTGAAAAGTACAGTTATGAATTAGATGGCATGTGCTCTCATAGCAGGGCGGTCAACAATATCCCGAGGGGGTTTTTCCTTCTTTTTGTTTCGCAGGCTCAACTACCACATCAGTGGGTTGGAGCCTGACGTTAGTCTAAAATCATTTATTTTCCGAAGTCCATAATAACTGCACGTTATTGTTTGCTCAGCAAAACTATTTATTATAAAGATTACGTTCTCTCACCTTTTTATGAGCTGACAAAACAGCTTTCACTGAACTATTAACCGGAGCAGCATTGTGCTCTGCTCTGGCTTCAGACTGCAGATCATTTCGGCTGGGCCTGGAATATGCAGTTTCATTCAATCAGTTCCCCACAGATCATTCCAGGGTAGTCTCTGGGCTGGCACATGATTTTTTATGAGGAACTTGAAAGGACACAGTCAAGGCCGACGGCAGGGAAATCGTATCCACGATGGAAATGCTGTGTTTCCTTTCACACCAGTCTCCCGAGTGCTGAGGGATGGCACCAGGGCAAGGGTGGAGCATATTTCAATCCCAAACAATCCTGCGACTTCAGGAGCTATTTAAGCAAAATACATCTACAAAGCAGTTGAAAAAGCGTCTGGGGCGAACTTCAAAGGTCAGTGTATTTTCTTGGACCCAGGTCAAGAGCCTCAATTCTAGATTGTAAAGCTCTTAGGCATCAAAAGAAGAAATATCTTGAACTTCCCTGACAGTCGGGGGTTAGGACCCTTTGCTTTCACTGCAGAGGGCATGGT